TGACCTGGAGTATGCAAACGATATTGTCCTGCTAGATTAAGACCCGACAAATTGCTCGGTCTTCTCGACACGGTGGGCAGAAATCTGTATGTGTTTGGCATAGGCTGCATACCTGTCAAATGTTAGATGATGCTGAATTTACTCTCAGTTTAATGATAAGGGGTGAGGTGGTGGAATATGTCAACCACTTCACTTAATTAAGGAAGATGTTTGCTGGGGTTTAATCACAGATATCTCCGTAGCATCGCTCGCGTTTAGTTAAGTCCTCATGTAGGCAACGTTGAAGTTAGGCGCAGGAGAGTAGGCAAGAATGGCGAGTCGACTCATGAGGTCATGAACCTAAGTCTACTGAGACGACTTGGACATGCACCGGGGATGCCGAGTCACCGCTACCTCGACATGAAACGCTGGCGGAAGATGGATAAAGTTGGAAGAGGGTTCAGAGTGGCCAGACCAAGATCTGGAACCAGTTCATGGAGTCTCTGACTCTTGGTGTGAATCATATGAAAAGCATGGACTACCTAATTTGGGGTCCTTGAGACAAAAGGAATCAGCGGTTAAAGACTGTTGGTGAGATGGCTGAAAATCGGTCACAGTGATCCAGATGTATTCACTTCTTAATTTCTTCTAAAGGCTGAATATTCGCACTCGTCTCCATCTTCAGATTGTTAATTCTGTCACAGTACTTTATCTACTTTGATATCACTCCTTTTCTACCCACTTGTTCTTTGTTTACCATTGTGAAGTGCAGGAACTTGAAGAAATGCACTAGTGTATGAGGTTCTACGTTGATTATGTCAATCAATATATTATTTTATGGTCAGTCATCAGTTTCATAACTGACGAAGAATGATGCCAGATGGATATTTATATTAGGCATATTCATGGTTTAATGAAAGCTAGAAGATATAAGTCACTGCAACTAAGAGTAAATATTTTGAGACATTGCAGGTGAGGACCAAAGAATTTTCGATTGATTACACTGGAAAGAAAATTTTCCGTTAGACTACGTGGGTAGTGTATTCAATAGCTGATCAAAGATTCTGGGCTATCATTTACGTAATCTAACTATTCTTGAAAGGCAGTTTAAGGAAGATATCACCGTTTTTCTTTTAAGTTTTCTACTCATTGAGCAGTTTGTCTGTCTCATGATGCATGGTAAATTGCTGGCCAGTTGTAGAATTTCGGACACACGTCTCATCCTATCTCGGACTCTTGAGTTTACATTTACCCCTATTAATGTTGTTGTTCTCACTGAAATTCGGACCCAGTATCCATCGCTTTCAAAGCCAAAGCTATATCCACTAAGTTACTAGAGCACGAGAGCCCCTCACTAGTCCACAAAAGTGATTCTTGGTTGTCGCCTGTGACCAAAGTATCAAACGTTTAGTTGTCACTTGTCTATTATGTACTCGTCATCTTCACGAACTGCTAATGAAGAAAATATTAAGGACACATAGATGAGTTTATTGCACTAAACTTCCCGCTCGCGGGGGGGGGTGAAGGGTGACAAAAGTTGGACATGAGGACAAGTAATTGATGATGGCATTGGATGAAGGTCGTTCTATAGCGCGAAATGACAAAGTAGAACAATGTGGACCATTGGGTTCTGAAGACAGTGCATACCACAGGACCTGAATGTCCATGGTCCGATCCCTGATGGGGTCGCGGTTTTGCATCACAGTCTATCAATGCTTCCAGGTTTTCAGCAATCCTCCAACTGATATCAGTCTGTGATTAATCCTAGCTTGTAATGAAGATGATTACATGCATTGATTGGTCGCCGGATAGTAGCCAGTTTCATGTTATGTAGTTCTAAGTGCTGATCAAATTCTGTCGATCAGCCCAACATGGCGATACACTTTGTCGATGTTCTGCAGTCAAAGATGTTATCACTGAGTTAATCGGGCGGCGACTCACCACCTGGGGTTCGGATTAGGTACTAGGTGACGCGAGTTCGAATCTGAGGCAGGACATTAGTTCCATCGGGCTTGCAGATATGCCTTGCTGACGAGTGCCAAAAAGCGCGGAACCTTGGTCCAAGGCTTACTGCCGATTGCCTCCATCCAACTAACATCAGTTGAAGATGATTAAGTGTGAATAACACGTTGAGTAGCATGACAAGATGCATAATGAATAAGTTGTCATCAGAATATAAAAACAAAGTTGTTGGTAACGTGTAAAAAATGATTGGAATGGAAGAGTTAAAAGATGGAGATATTCCGAAACGCTAAAGATCAAGACCATGGAACAGATTAGACATCTTCACTAAAAATTGCCAATGAATGAGATTGTAAATTTCAGTGAATGAAATCAAAGTTGAGCCTAGTTATTCAAAGTCAGTGAGCTTCCTCGTGGCCCCGATGGATTCAAATCAATACACCGTCATATTTGATTTAGCAGTAATAGAGGTGCACGAGATTCATGTGTGATGATTAGGGGCAAAGACATCTAAAGCACGGAAGGGTCAGTTGACCATTAGGATTCCGCCCAGAGAGCTAGGAGCAGTGCGTCAATAAAATGTAAGCGAATCCAGTTTCCTCATTCTGGTAGTCATTTTGTTGAACCAGTTTCAAGGAAAGTGGTGTGGCTTTCCTTGCAAATGTGGAGTGGTATCTGGTCCGAAATGCTGAGTATTGTTAGGTGGCCGGAAGTATACCTCCATGTTTGAAGTATTGATGAGAAGAGGTATTTAAGCTTCAGAGATGTGCGCATCGGTTTGTACAAGATTGTGGATAATCAATGAGAAGTATTCCACACACAGCTGCCTACAGGGAGGTGAGTGAGGTTAAACGACCCGATTACCCGGCAAATACCGATATGCTGAAGCCTGCCAGTTGGGAAGTAGGGATTCAAGGGGCAGGTTTTAGGAAGCGCTGACAGAGTGCTCTAGCAGCAGTGTTCGTTTTCATGTGGTCGCGTCGCTAAAGATATTTTTTCGTGTGATGATACCGATCCCCCGACGTTTTAGAGATGACAACGTTCAAGCAAGTGATGGTCTGATCTTGAACTGAAAACTGAACCAAAAAGTGGAGTGAAACCTAAACAGCTACAGAAAAATGTGCTATCACTAAAACTTCTAAGATTTTTTTGTTATACCACCTATAAAAAAAAATCCTGATAAAATGTAAACTGGTTGATGGGATTAATTAATGGCAACTGACTACAGGGATGAAATAGAAAAACTAGTCGTTAGAAACTATTACTCAATGAAGTAAATCGGTTGCTCATGTGGATCACTTGTACCGGTGAATTTTGCCTGACTGAAAATTACCTTACAGTTCGTTTCCTAAATAAGGATCGAATATTCATTATATGGGCAAGCAGGACAGACGAGGATGTCAAAGTCAGTCAGAATCGGAAAAGCAAGATAGGCGTTCATTAACCTGAAACCAATGTGGAGATCTTCTGCACTCAGCATATGGAACGAGATCCGGATTTTCAACACCAACGTCAAGTCAGTGCTTCTGTATAGTTGAGAGACTTGGAGCGTTACGAAAGGGATTTCCAATAAACTACAGACATTCATCAACAACTTCTTACGCTCGCTACTGAAGATCAGATGGCCAGAAAGAATAAGCAACAAGGAGTTCTGGGAACGAACCAACCAAGAACCTATCACGCAACAAATATGCACTGGAAGGAAGTGGGGATGGATTGCGCATACACTGAGAATACCGACTGAGGAAATCACGCGTCAGGCCAGTTGCTCTAGTGGAATCCCCATGGGAAGCGACGAGTTGGACGTCTGAGGGTGACATGGAGGAGGTCGTGCGAGGAGAAAATGAGAGCTTGTAGGCTGTCGTGGAACCAAGTTCAAAATATTTCAGAGAACAGAGGTCACTGGAGACGTGCTACTGAAGCCCTATTTCCATTAGGAACCCAAGGGACTAATAATAAATAATTCATTATATGGGAATTTTGTTTGTAGAAGATGGGGTATTTTACAGGAAGTGTGATAACTTGAATCGGCCTGAAGAATGATATATTCAAAAGATTTTCTGGCAATAAATCAATAGTGTTTTGGCCGGAATTCATTAGACTAAATTTGTTTGATAACAATGATAGATAATGGTTAGCTGAAGGTTTCAGGGCATGAGTTTCGTCTCATTTGAGACTTCTTAGACATAAAATTGTATCCATAGTATAAAGAGCAACCATAGTGATCCACTCGGTAACGCTCTGGCATTAAAAGCGATAACTGCTTGATTTTAGTCTCAGGGGAACAATATTACCCACTGGAGGACAAGTCTTTTCGGCTGACAAGTCTTGAATAGGTCAAAACATGTACCATGAATTGCACTGTTCATCATTACCATCAAACTAAAATTACCGGCAATACCGAGGCAGTCATATAAGAGTTCAGATGTTAGTAATGGCTGACTGATTCGGTAGTATCAACAATGGAAAACTGCAATCGATAAAGCTGAACTTTTTTGAATCGGAGTAGCGACTTCAGTTTATTGTTTCCAGCTGAAAGGATCAAATCCAACTAGAGGCCCTGCTCATCATCAATATTACAGCAGAATACCTGAGTGCTGAAGTTTATCAATCACTTTATAGTTATTAATGCGAAATCTGTGAATAATCACGCATTAGAAGACAGAAAATGTGGTCAGCACCATGTAAACTTACAAGATATATACATCATAGAATACTTTATAAAACTCATTGTAAGCATTACCATTGATGAAATGTAGGTTAGTAGAGGTCAATAATTGACCGACTGGTTTCAGATGAGATGGTCTTGTATTTCTACAGTTATTTAACATGTTAGCTAGAAGACTATGATAGAGATGTACTGATCTGAGATAAACTTTAATCGAATCATACATTCTGTAACACATACCAAACAGAAGGCTTATCTGTGAAACACTTATAAAATATGCTTCATGCTAAAATGGGGATTATCAAAACCTCATGATATTAGAAAAGCATAAAAATGAAGCGTTTAGCTATACAAAAAATATATAAAAGAACCACTTGTCCTTTAGACTCACCTAAATTCAAGATATCTTTGAATGCATGGAGGAATTCAATAATCATAAGGCAGTTTCCAAACATCTTACCAGACATTCTATTTCCTGGGATTGAATCGAATTTTGGTATCGGCTATAGGATGAATAGAATAAAGAAGAATGGGCGAAAAATGATTGATCTATACAAATTATTATGATAGTCTACTTCATATTCATTTCAGTCAGAAAACTTTCTTGTCTACTAATTGACAATACGTAATAACAGAAAGATGGAACCTTGACTATGCTTATTATGATCGTCTTATTTGGCCTGTTTTCAAAAGGTGTTTATGTATTATTGTTTAACCAGTCTGGATTTATTGGACGGGTCATCAATAAATATTTTACACCGTTATCATCATTTACTATAGGAAATTTCTATTTGTGTTACCAGTATCCAAACACAAAAGCATAGAATATTCTCAATTCAAGGTAAATATGACGATAATTAACTAGCACTGTAACAGTGCTGCCTAGATTTGTGAAAGAGGCTACTTCCTTTAAGTCTCTCCCGTTGATGGTGATTGGGGCTTGTTGTTGTTGTTGTTAGTGGCGTTGGTTGGGTATTATCATCACCTAAACCAACGCCACCACCACCACCAACAAACTCCAATCACCATCAATGGGAGAAACTTAAAGGAAGTAGCCTGTTTCACCTATCTAGGCACCACTGTCTCAACTACAGGCGGCACAGGCACAGACAAGGACGTCAAAGCCAGCCAGGATCGAAAAAGCAAGACAGGCGCTTATTAGCCTGAAACAGTGTGGAGATCTACTGCACTCAGCATAAAGCGTGAGCAGGATCCAGATTTTCAATACAAATTCAGTCAAGTCAGTGCTCCTATGTGATGGTTGAGAGACTTGGCGCGTTACGAAAGGGATTCCCAACAAACTACAGATATTCATCAACAACTATCTATGCTGGCTCGTTACTGAAACTCAGATGACCACAAATAATAAGCAGCAAGGAACTCTGAGAACGAACCAATTAAGAATCCATGCACCAACAATTTCGCAGAAGAAAGTAGAGATGGACTGGGCACACACTGAGAAGGCTGATCGGGGACATCACGTGCCAGACCAGGCCGTCGAGTGGAACCCAAATAGAAAGTGACGAGTTGTGCGTCCGATGTGAAAGTGACATGGAGGAGATGGTGTGAAGAAAAAATGAGAGCTTGTGGGCTGTCGTGGAACCAGGTTCAAAAGTTTACAGAGAGTAGAGTGGAATGGAGATGTGCTACTGAAGCCCTATTTTCCATTAGGAACCCAAGGGACAAATAATTATAATAATTGTAACAAAATGTTCACATTCATATATGAAAGTTTAGAGAAAGTTACATTATTGTCATATACAATACTCTTCATAGACTTTATTCAATTAGTATACATAAAGTCTCAAGAAAAGAAAATACTGAAAACTAACATATTAGGTAAGCATTAATTTCAAGCGAATACCCAACAGATGATAGATAATCTATCATTTGATAGCTGGTATTTATTAGCAGTGAAATTCATAACATAACTGTATCTCAATGATTGAAAGTGTTCACCACAAGGATTTCAAACTAACGTCAGAATTAAATTTTGAGGGAGTTGTGGAAATTTGGAAATATTTCAAGTTGTTATTCATCGAAGACTGACATCAGTTGAAGGAACAAAGGAAACCTGGGAGCACTGGACAGCCGTTTCGTCCGACTAGTATGGGACTCCTCAGCAGTGCGCACCCACGACCCCACCAGCAGGGATCGGACCAGCGACCTTCAGGCTCCGCGGCCAGCACGTTACCATTGAGCCGTTGGGCCAGAATCCAGTGCCCCATATTTCCAACTTCTGTTAGTTCACGATATAGCGCAAGTCGTGACCGGTGGAGTCAAAGCCTAATGGCCGTGAGGACAGATACTCAACGATGACATAGGGTGGCGGTTTGCGCTATATCGTGAGCTAACAGAAGTTGGAAATATGGGGCACTGGATTCTGACCCAGTGGCTAGCTCAATGGTAACGCGCTGGCCAAGGAACCTGAAGGTCGCGGGTTCGATCGCTGGTGGGTGGGGTGGTGGGTGCGCACTGCTGAGGAGTCCCGTACTAGTCGGACGAAACGGCTGTCCAGTGCTCCCAGGTTTCCTTTGTTCCTCCAACTGATGTCAGTCTTCGATGAATAACAACTTGAAATAACGTCAGAATGTTATGTACTAGACCGGAGAGTTACAAAGACCGACATCAATGGATATCAGTTGTTATATAATTACAGACTGTGTTCAAATTCAGTTTTTTAATAAACTAGTTGATACAGTTACATTAAAGGTATATTTACGGCACAAACTCGACTTATTCGACACAGCCAACTAAATCATACATTCTAGACTACTGTTAAAACAAATCTGGTAATAATGCATTCACTGGCTGTTGAAGTGAATTTCAGTTAGGTTAGGCTTTGTAGTTTTTCAAATGTGGATTCTTATAGATATATATTATCCGTCCGAAATTATTATTATTTTTCCCTTAGGTTCCCAGTGAAAACATAAGGCTTCAGTAGCAAGCCTCTATTGCACTGTGTTCTCAGAAGTCATTTGAACCTCACTCCACTACTGCCTGCGCACAAGCTTTCATTTCTTCTTAATATCACCCCCTCCATGTTACCCTCACATCGTATCCCAACTAAACGTTTCCCCTTTGAATTCCACTCAAGGGTCTGGCCTAGCGCGTGATGTCCCCAATCGGCCTTCTCAGTCTTTGTCCAATTCGATCCAACTTCACTTTTTTCTGGATATTTTTTGGGGATAAGTTCTTGGTCGGTTGGTTGGTTGTCAGCCAGCCACAGTTCCTCCTTGCTTATCTGATTATCTGATCTGATCTGATCTTCCGTATCGAATGAGCGTAGGTGGTAGCTGTTGATGATGAATATCTGTAGTTTGTTGGAAATGGTTTTCATGACGCGTCAACTCTCTCAACCATCACATAGAAGCACTGACTTGACTGACTTTGTGTTGAAAATCCGGATCTTGTTCCACATTCTGAATGCAGTACAGTAGGTCTCCACACTGATTTCAGATTAATGATAGCCAGTTTTGCTATCTTTCCAATCCTACTTTTAACATCCTCATGTATGTTTATGCAATCACCTGTAGTTGAAACGATGCTGCCTAGGTAGGGGAAAGAAACAATTTCCTTTAGTTTTCTCCCGTCCATGGTGACAGGTGCTTTTGTCATTGTTGTTGGTTGGGTATCTTCATCACCTACATCTTCTCCACATTCACTTGAAGTCCTGTTTTCGCTGTCTCACCTTATCTGTCAACTTTTTGGTTCTTACCTGTACATCTTCGAGTTTGTGCAACATTAGACATTCGACATAAATGATCATCGACGAAGTTGAAATCTTCTCCTAAGGTCTTTTCATCGATCAAACAACCAGCATATGCTCATCTCTCTTACTCCTCACAGTATATTGCTTGATCTAGTCCACCACAATCAAGAAGATCATTAGTGATAGTTGGCAGCCTTATCTTACTCCTGTCAAAAATTACATTGTTATAATTTACCGAAAAATTAATGGCTAAAAATGAAAAAAAATTAAATTTATTCCTTAAAACATATAACTAGAAAAGACAGGGAATTTTATTGACTCCTGTTAAATACCTTACCTTTAGGTTAATTAAACGTAAATCTTCAATTGGTTTTCTTAATTCTTGTTCGATAAGTTCTTGTATTTTCTATTCATAAAAGATAAAGTTAAAAAAAAATGTATACTTTACAAAGTAATGTTCATCTTTCCTCTGGAAATATGTATTTTTGTTCCAAGAAGTATAAATTAGTAACTTAAATCAACTATAGTAAAAGTAATTGATTCTGTGAAATGATTATTAAAATTCTATAGATTGATGGTATTGAAAAAGAAGAATTGTTGAAGTGTTTTCTTGACTTCTAGCAATTCTGAAAAGATTTTCAAAGAATTTATAAATGGTTTCTTTAAACCAATAAGATTAACTAATCTTCTAGTAATCATATAAGGTTCAAATTTTGGTCACATCTAGTATTCATATTAAATCTATAGCTGTCGAACAAACTCCATTTTTATTGCTTTCATAGAATTTAGAGGTAGAACCAGTGTGTGTGTGTGTGTGAGAGAGAGAGAGAGAGAGCTATCAGTTCTATAAAGCAAAATTCTGAATACTTTGATGCGATGGAAAGCAAAATGCTATTGTTTGTGTCTAGCGCTTTTCTTTGATAATGATCTTTTTCAGAAAATCGGAAGGAAAGTCTAAGTGTGCCGTTGTTATCTATTTTCGGTTTTTTTTTCTCCTCATATAACACATCATAATACGGTATTTCGATGTAAAAAAAACAACCTTTATACTAAGTTTTAATCAATATGGCTAAACAGATATGGGAAACACAGCTAAATATTGACTTAGTACGGACTTATGGGAGTAAGGTATCCAGTGAGTAGATGATGTTAGGTGTACCCTTGTGTTTGACTTCAGCATAGTCTTCAAGTTTCAGGAGAAGATGTAACAACTGATGAAAGAAGTTGCGATAAGATTACCAATATTATCAGTCGTAGCAAACGTGTTAATGAATAGGCGTGAACATTCAACCTTAAGGACGTTTAATCGTACTCCTTAGATGTCTTTGAGACATGTATAAGATACTCTATTGCAATTGGAATACACTGACAACATTCTTCCACATATACACTTACTGGTAAATTCGATTCAATTTACCTACCAGTTAGAAAATGAAGAAGGGGAATTAGCCATATTGGTTCGCGAATATAACTGAAGAACAGATGGAGGTTTACATACCGTCACCATTAGCAAACCAAACATGACATTCACTACCAGATAAAGTGAGTTGACTTAAGTGTTTATATAGTAAAGCTAAAAATAACACTAGTCAACCAAAAGCCTAAATAAGTAAGTAAAACATACAGACCAAACTCCACCGATGAACAATTTACCTCTGAGGTTTCTTAGAAAGTTTATGCAAACAAACAGTGTTATAAATATTAAGGATAACAAGCATAATTAGGATCTTAAGGTGAGCATTACATTACCATGTAAAGAAGCAGCACCAGAAACTTTACACACAACAACAGTCTTGCTATAAAAAGGGACTATTCTAAAAGTTAGTTTCAAGTGCAAGATTGAAATCAATCAGGCGGCTAAAACTATTTCAACGCAGAGTTTGCGGAAGCTTGTTTCATTATTTTGTATAATAATGTGAAGCAACAAAAAGGCAATATTAACCCAGAATAATAGAAAATCTGTCTATCAGGATGCGGTATATCTCAGAAAGTCACATTTTGTATGTAACCACATATGATCTACATGTAAGTTATTAACGATCAGGTCATATGCAATCTTGTCCGAGTACATTAAGGCAGAATTTTGACCTCATGCAACCTCGCCTTCGTATCTAATATACTAGTAACTAACCTCTCCTAAGCTCGTATAAAGAGGGAAGGTCAGGCATAGGCCTACCAACCTTACTCTGTAAAACCAATCCAATCTCTTAATAAACTTCAAAGAACAAAGAAAATAAAAATATAAAATATAAACTATTCCTCACTGGAATCGGAGAGGCGAAGAGACGCCAGTTGGTGAAAGCCTTCGGGAAACCAGTTGGCCAGTGCGTCTCCTCTCGATGAAAGCAACAGTAAACATGAGGAGATAGAATGTTCACACAATGCTTTGGCCTGACAAGGCTGCCCATATTCTCAAAGGGATGAGAAGATAGAGCATACAAGTGCTACGAATCTGCGAAAGCGGCTGGAATGGAAGTGTACTCTCCAAAGTGTTAATTCGAGAGTCAATAATTTACTCCGATATTGTCACCCAGACGACAGCCACGGGCAAACTGAGTTTAGGAGTGGCTATCAAAATGTGCTCAAGAGCATCGAAGGGTCTCATGCAGTGGAAACCGATTTCCTCCCCCGGGATCAGGATCATGACGGAAACATCGAACATAAAAGGAAGTCATAATCATACAAGGCTACGCCATGCTGTCTAGCTGGCTTCGGGAAAAACAAATCATGTACAGATCAAATTGCAACACTACACTACACATCATCATACAACAGAATATAGAACGGCACTCAACTGCATCTTCACCTCAAATTCATCAACTTCAAAAAAACCTGCCACAGCATCGACAGACACATAATTTACAGGCACCTGATTCAACACTACACTCTCAGTGACACAAATCCTCATCAACCTCACTCAACAGCTACATGAAAACACCACATGTCGAGTGATTCACAATGGAAAGCTGAGTGATGCCAGTGAAGTGAAGATAGGAGTAGTTGAGGTTGCCACCTACCATCACCAATCATCTTCCTGATTGTAGTCGACTCGACTCAACTCGATTGGATCATGCAGCAGACTGTGAGGAGTGAGGAGATGGGCATATGCTGGCTGTTTGATCGATGAAAAGACCCTGGAGAAGATTTCAATTTCGTCGATCATCATTTATGTCGAATGTCTGGTGTTGCACGAACTCGAGATGTAGAGGTAAGAACCGACAAGTTGACAGGTAAGTGGAGGCAATGCAGCGAAGATGGGACTTCCTTCATGTGAAGGTGGAGAAGACGTAGGTGATGAAGATACCCAACCACCACCACTAACACCACCACCAACAACAACAACAACATCAAACACCAATCATCATCAACGAGAGAAATCTAAACCAAGTTGAGAGACTTAGCACCTCACGGAAAGCATTTCCAACAAACGACAGACATACATCATCAACAGCTGCCGCCTACACTCGCCCACTCAATACTCAAGATCAGATCAGATCAGATGATGAGAATAATGAGAATAAGCAAGGAGGAACTGTGGTTGGTTGGCTGGCTGGCTGGCTGGCAACGAATCAACCAACCAACCAAGAACCCATCGCCAAACAAATGTGCAGAAGACAGTGGAGATAGATGTATTGAATTGAACATAGACTGACGAGATGGTTTGGGGACATCACTCGTCAAACCAGATCAGGTGAGGAAAGGAAGAGTTTGGCGTTCGAGGTGATGGTGATATGGAGAGATGGTGTGAGAAAGAAATGAAAGCTAATGTCCATGTAGTCTTGTAGGCAAGTTGAGAAAGAAGACTGTATAGAAGAGAGTGTAATGGAGATGTGCTACTGAAGCCGTATTTTCCACCAGGAACCCAAGAGACAAACAACAATAATAATGACGTTATGCACCTCAGTCAAAGTCGTCGCTTCATGTAAATTCGGTTTACAGTTAAGTAAATATCAATTTGGATGGATACAGAGATGTGTTACATCATAATTGAGTTGACTTTTCCAGGCAAGTGTACTAAACAGATAGGGCAAATTATCTAAGAACAAATGGATAAGTTATATCCAAGCTATCATACACCATATAATCTCCCTCTCTCTCTCTCTCTTTCTCGCTTTGTGACTGAAATAGGTAGTAATTAGTTCAACTTTCGATTGGATGAATCTACGCAGTACTGGTTTTTTTTCCTATTTTTCTTCTACTTTGGTTGTCATCATCTACATGACATATTTATTAAGTACGGCCTGGTGTTCTCAGATCAATTATCTCAACTGTATAAGCTTCTAAATAACGTCAACAGACCACAGATAGAAAGGAAGATAAACTTACCGTTTCACGTAGTTGTTTTCTTTCTTCCATGGCTAGACAATCTTTTTCTCTTTTCACTTTTTCTTGTTGTTTTACAAATTCAATGAAGAAATTTTTCAGATACTCTTTCTCCTATTGAAGAAAACGCAAGATTATTAAGTTTTTAGAGTTGAATGACAAATTTTAAAAAGTTAGTATGAAGCACTGAGAGAAAACAATTTGCGTTAAATATTATATGGATGCCAGCTGAAGACTTTGGTGGACTGTAGTAGCGTATTGTGGATTGACAGAAGTGGTAAACTGTAAACTATTGAACTCCGACCTACTGGGTGAAGCGTCGACTTATTCACTGTAAGACCTGAAGATCCTGAGTTCATTCCCAGGTGGAATCATGGGTGACATCAAAAACGAGATATTTAACTAAGAAAACTCTTTTGCAACGAATTTATTCTTAAGCTGCACATTCGTATATATATGATATTTAAAGACGGTAATCTGTGAGGAAGATTTAACTTAAATAATGGGGGTTGAAGCAATAACAGTAGTGGTTATAATAATAATGCTGCTAGCTGATGTGTCCAAGTTGAACTTGACTTTTAAGAGGGGCGCTGGCGGAAAATTACTATCCTTGCCAGTTTGTTGATGAGAAGATTCTAGAAAGACATATGAAACTAGTCATTAACTCAGTTTCTAGGAAGAGTTTGTTCATGAATATGGAATTCAAAGGTGATGCAGCATTAGATATCCTGAAAAATTGTCTTTCCAGATCAATTGGTAGGACTTTTTTCTCAGCCAAACTTCAGTTGATCATTGCCAGTCGTAAATGGTTCTCCGTTTGTGTAAAGGACAACTATCCCTCGACAGGCCATACCCATGTGTATCTACCATCCCACTTGCTCCTGTGGATCAAGGTACATTGACTGTAGTCAGAGATTGCTGTCAACACGTATACGAGAACATATTCCTGCCTGATTTTATAAGGGTGAAAGGAAATGCATCAAAAGTTGTATCGTTGAGCATTTATTCGATTCCAACCATACCTGTTGGAATGTGTTGGTTTTCTGTAGATAGTAGTATCAAGACTTCAAATCATCTCATCCAATGTCAGTTAGGGCAGGATTAGTCGAAAGTCTAAATGATGGAGTTAGAAAACTGACTAGTCATTGCAAGGACCTAAACAAGGAATTGAAACATGTAAAAGAAGCGCTAATAGTTAATAATTATCCTCCTCAGTTTATGAAGAAATTCTTACGGATACACAAAAAACGAAAAAATAACGACAACACAAGTAGAAAGGAGTTCATAGCCTTCGTTGTATTACCATATATGGAGGGTATCTCAGAAACTTTACGTAGGATCCTCAACATAGCTGGAATTAGAGTGGCATTTAAACCTACAAACACTCAGATAAACTTTGCCAGCTGGTTTAAAGATCCGATAGAATCAATTAAGCAAAATAATCTAATTTATCAAATTCCATGTAATGATTGTGAGGTCAAGTATGTAGTTCAAACTAGTCGGTCGGGGTCAATTAGAATAGCCGAACATAGGAATTTAGCTAAAGATAGAATAACAGACCTAAATAAGATCAATAATCTAGAAAAGCACTCAGCTATTGCTATGCATGCATTAACACACAACCACATAATAGAATGGGTGGGATAAAGCCACTATACTTAAGTCCAGTATATTTAGATGGAGAGAGAGATTGATTACTGAATCTTGGTTCATCGAATCAACACTCGCCCAACACACTTAATGGAAATAACGCAACACCTATACCAGACATATGGAAAATTTTGCTACTAATAAAAATAACTCATACAAAGTTAAGTAAATATAAAAATCAAATGTCGAAAGTAGTATGATTACACACTGATATGATTATGAGCAGTAATAATTTATGTTTGAAACGTAATTATCAAGTAAATAGTACTATATTACCACTGTGTGTTATAAATCAAATAAACAAATCTAATATGGAATTAAATTCTACCACAATGCCCAAGTCTTACACCTAGGTTGTTTATTAACACTACCACGTTTTCATTCACTTTATAATCTACTATATGCACCTTATAAATGATCTGAAAATCTTATGTAACCCTTCTTGTTATCATTCAAGCTTTACATCATCAACTAGCAACATTATAATTATAACCACTACTGTTATTGCTTCAACTACCCATTATTTAAGTTGAATCTTCCTCACAGACTACTGTCTTTAAATATCATATATATACCAATGTACAGCTTCAGAATAAATTCGTTGAGAAGAGAAAGTCCTCTTCGGATATATATATATATATATATATATATATATATATATATAGGGTCGAATAGCGTCGAATTACTTTCCACATCGTAATCCAAGGAGTAGAATTAGCATAATAGTCAGAGGAAGTTTTTGAAAACAAATAATACTGATTACTATGTAAATTGTATTTTAAACCCTATTTGAAGATTTATTATAATGAAATGGAATCAGACGAAAACTGAAGTATATGGTCAATGATGAATGAAGCTACACTTCATAACCTAGGGGCAAAGTTTATGGTTTCTTGTTTTAACCTCAGAAGCAAGTGAATAAGTAAACTTCAGATAATAAGACTATAAGTGGTACACTAGTTATTCTTTGAACTAAAATAAAAACAGGGAGATTATGAAAGAGATTATTTCAATAAGTATATACAATCTTTATGTTCAATGATATTTAAAGATTTCGTCGGGTAAATCACGAAAACTTACGGAGAATTTTTGTTGCTGTATAGTATCTGCAACAGTATGTGAAAAATTAGACCAAGTAGAATTTAAATGAGATAAATTAACTGATCCTTGTTGTGATATATTGTTAAACATATCATAATATGCTTGCTCGCTTAACACTTGACTAGATTGTTGATTTTGTGAATATGATCCTTGAAAACTTGTATATATATTAGAGGGGAAGATATTCATTTGATTCGATTCCAAGTAGGAATTTTTTGGTGTATAAAATTCATGTGATGTAATATTCGATGAATTGTTTCGTTTTTTTGATGGATAAGATGATGTAAGATCTATACTCTGAGAAGATTTCATCTCTTCTTTGATCCTCATATAATCATTAGAAACTAGAAAAAACAAGTTCAGTTTTAGAAAAAAATTCAACCTGAGAAATTTAGGATAACACTTTTACAGCCTAAATGTACATTTCAATAAAAAAATTTATTTCTCCCCTGTTAATTATAACTAAAGAATGGATGCCAATTAGTATGGATAAACGGTCCTACTCTCTAGCCATTTACTAACAAGTACAAAGACTGATCTCATTCCAGAGAAAAAAACGTTTCTTCTACACAGTCCAACAACTTTGTACAATATATGTTACCTGTGCTATACTGTACAACAGCGATACCATATTTTCGCCTAAAACAAACAGTCTAATCGAAAACATTGTTGTAAGTTCTGGAAGTGTTTTATTCCGTTATTATTTTCATTTATTATTTGTCTCTTGGGTTCCTGGTGGAAAATACGGCTTCAGTAGCATGCCTCCATTACACTCTCTTCTATACAGTCTTCTTTCTCAACTTGCCTCCAAGACTACATGGACATTAGCTTCCATTTCTTCCTCACACCATCTCTCCATGTCACCATCACCTCGGATGCCTAACTCTTCCTTTCCTCACCTGATCTGGTTTGACGAGTGATGTCCCCAAACCATCTCGTCAGTCTATGTTCAATTCAATACATCTATCTCCACTGTCTTCTACACATTTGTTTGGCGATGGGTTCTTGGTTGTTTGGTAGATTCGTTGCCAGCCAGCCAGCCAGCCAGCCAGCCAGCCAGCCAGCCAGCCAGCCAGCCAGCCAGCCAGCCAGCCAGCCAGCCAGCCAGACAGCCAGACAGCCAGACAGCCAGACAGCCAGACAGCCAGCCAGCCAGCCAGCCAGCCAGCCAGCCAGCCAGCCAACCAACCACAGTTCCTCCTTGCTTATTCTCATTATTCTCATCATCTGATCTGATCTGATCTTGAGTATTGAGTGGGCGAGTGTAGGCGGCAGTTGTTGATGATGTATGTCTGTCGTTTGTTGGAAATGCTTTCCGTGAGGTGCTAAGTCTCTCAACTTGGTTTAGATTTCTCTCGTTGATGATGATTGGTGTTTGATGTTGTTGTTGTTGGTGTTGGTGGTGGTGTTAGTGGTGGTGGTTGGGTATCTTCATCACCTACGTCTTCTCCACGTTCACATGAAGGAAGTTCCATCTTCGCTGCATTGCCTCCACTTACCTGTCAACTTGTTGGTTCTTGCCTCTACATCTCCGAGTTCGTGCAACATTAGACATTCGACATAAATGATGATCGACGAAATTGAAATCTTCTCCCAGGGTCTTTTCATCGATCAAACAGCCAGCATATGCCCATCTCCTCACTCCTCACAGTCTGCTGCATGATCCAATCGAGTTGAGTCGAGTCGACTACAATCAGGAAGATGATGGGTGATGGTAGGTGGCAACCTCAATTTACTCCTATCTTCACTTCACTGGCATCACTCAGCTTTCCATTGTGAATCACTCGACATGTGGTGTTTTCATGTAGCTGTTGAGTGAGGTTGATGAGGATTTGTGTCACTGAGAGTGTAGTGTTGAATCAGGTGCCTGTAAATTATGTGTCTGTCGATGCTGTGGCAGGTTTTTTTGAAGTTGATGAATTTGAGGTGAGGATGCATTTGACTGCCGTTCTATGCTCTGTTGTATGATGATGTGTAGTGTAGTGTTGCAATTTGATCCGTACATGATTTGTTTTTCCTGAAGGCATCTATCTTTCCATCCAGCCTGTTCGAGTGGTACTTTTCAGCGCGGTGGATTTTTTAGTCTCTCTAGGATGATGCAGCATAATATTTTAGTTTGGGGTGGTTAGGAGCATGATTCGGCGGCAATGCTTGCCAAGACGTTTAAATCTGTTACACAAACAAAGTAATTTTTTAATCTAGTTATATGATATGATTTGGTGAACACGCTATTAACAGTTATCACTTATACTTCACGTTGAATTTGAATGCAGATCAGCCACCAAGTGACGATAAAATAAAGCGAGATATGCACGGAAAGCGTAACATTTTACGAATCAGCATCCAGGGGAGATGAGGAAAATCTTTTCAGTTATATCCATCACTACCCGAGAAAGCCGTGGTTGGCATACTTGTATCAATGCTAAATGATGCCTGAAAGCAAAAAGTAAATTTAGGTCACATTAGTATTCGAACAAGCGACTTCTAGGTTTTTGGTCAAGTGATATAACAAATAAACCATTAGACACATCTACTCATAGTTATGCATCACGGATTCACCGTTCTGTTTAATACAAATCGTTTGAAACAACATATATGTTTGGCTCAAGTTCTTGAACCACTTCCACTAATTACTCCATATGAAGTAGGCAAGTTTTCTGTACACAAAAAGTACAAGGTAGTTTTGAAAACGATGATTTTGAAGATAAAAGCTGAAAAACTGTATTTTATTAACCTTTATAATAGTAGTTACTCGGCAAGAATGTTAGGAATGTTAGGACTTCAGTGCTTCTAGAAATTTGATTGGCGAGATAACAATTATGGTAATAATTTCCTTGATTATAGATGACTCACAGTAATGAAGAATGGGGAACAAGTTAAGAAATACGCTGAACAGGGTACTCTGAGGTCCTTAAAGAATAATTTAACTATCAAGGCTAAAGTAAAACTATGAGCTATATGTTTTACTTATAAGAGAAATAAACAACGACAGAGTAGAACAGACTTTTGATTGCACTGCAGAGTTGTGCTTAACTGGGTAAAAATAACCATTCACGACTCAATAATATTCACTGTTTCTCTAACTGGTATGAATGTATGAAGAAACCAACCCAAAACCGGATGAAACAGACAGTTCTACAAGTAATTTACAGTGACTAACCTTCAGGATCGATAGATGTCTTCAAACTAGAATGGACTGGCAGTGTACACTTTTTCGCATATTTTGATTCCGATAGCCTAGGTTGACTGAAGAAGTCACTTGTTGTCTCAGTTATCTATAAATTAATACATACAAGAACACAGTTATTTACCAAGTGAATTTTATAAGATATATATTTATATATATATTTGTTGTTTTATACCACTAGTTTCCCGTTGCTATACAGGACCGAATTGCTAGACGACTGCTGGTAGATGGTCTGCTATATGGATACCAGTATACTGCCACATATTCTTGATGTTATATTCATCCCTGTGACTCGTAGTGAAATCCAAGTAGAGCATTTCATCCTATTTGGAACTCGTCAGCTGGGTATACCTGCACCCCAAACAACCCTCAAACCATAACAAATGATACCCGTTGTACAGGTAATAGCTTTGATGCCCCAGTGGCGTGAACGATAACGCTATGACTTTCGAAGCAGTGAGTACTGAGTTCAAGTTCTGTCAGGAACAACATGACTAACTGGAGTGCAGATACATCAAACGGACAACTGCCAAATTGGACGAAACATACTTTCTAGATTCCACTTCCAGTCACCAAGATGAATATAATATGAAACCATTACCTTGAAATTGCTACTTAAATGTAAGATTATGACTTAGTAATAATGGTAATGTAGTATGTTAGTCGGTTGTAGAGGATCAGCAGAAAACCATGCTTGACCTAAGCAAGTGATTATTTCAACAAAAATCACGAAAAATTAGCTATTTAGAGAAAAATTTTAAATATAAACCTTATTTTAAGGTTAAAATAACGTTTTACAGAAAAGTAGGTCCAAAAAATTTGGCAGTGTTGCCAGAGAAGTTTGCATATATGGGAAGTTATAAATTTTTATGTACTTTGATCTTTGAAAACAATTTCATCCCCTGTACCTTTTAAAAGATGACTAAAATAGGTGAACAATATGAATCTAGGATCCAGGAAGATAAGAAACAGGACAGTGACTGGAAATTCTAGGATTTCCCATTATCATCATTCACGAAGTCAAACATACTGATTGATAATATAAGAGTAAAAGTTGTACAGTGTAGTAGAGCATAATTCCATTTTATATTGAATATTTGACATAACACACACGGTGGTAGAGTATTATATACTGGATGACGTTTCGAGAATTTCTCATATTCATATAGATTCACGTATATATTAGTATACTCTGCAGGAAGTGAGCACAAATAATCTTGTTAGGAGTATTAACGTGAGTATTGGGTATTAATCATTTAGACAGTAAAAAAAAATTAGGAGATATTTCACGGTTGAACAAGGCGTACGTGAACACTGAGAGCTGAATGATTCTCTTTCACATATGATGTACGAAATAGCATTTCCAATATGCATATATCTTTTCCAGTCTCAGTGTCGAAAAGTGCACTTTTACAAGATGAAACTAATCAATCAACAAACATGTGAAGGCTCTTTTAAAGAATTGTGCATCATTATGAAAAATAAAGGAGAAGAAAGCACTCAGTTTCCCCCCCCCTGGCAAATATCTCTCTTCGAAATTCGTTAATAGCCTATAGTTGAAATGAACGATCGTTGACTAGCATACCATTGTTTTCTGTTTTCTGTCAACATTATTCTGAAATCAAATTAGGTGTTTGCGTATTTTTGTAATTCGGATCTTTAGATTGAATCAATCCAAGTAGACTGTTGATTGAAACGACGTGAAGTGAGCAAAATAGTCTTCTGGTGTCTAGTTTACCTTGATTTGACCACGGAAAATTACTGATAAAAGTGAATGGCCTAGAAATAATCATATCAGTCAGTAGTGTGTTATATCCATCATTCTGAAATATTTTTTTTATTGTATTCAAAGAAGAAAACTGAATATGGATCATAATGTTGAATCACTTAGAAACCAGTTGACTCAAATGTGTTTGAAAATGAAACACTAACTCATAGTACTGACCTGAACTACTTATAGGTGTTATGAATCAGCACAGAATCAATAAAAATAAGTCAGAGTGGGTTGTTAGTCTCTCAAGTAGAGTCCTAAGCTCAACAGAAGTGAAAGTACTAGAGAAAGGTCTTAACTTCAATGTAGCAGTTGATGAGTTGAAACCAGATGTCATTCCCAAAATAGAAATAACGTTAAGTTCAATAGATAAGACAATTGCAGATAAGGTAAGAGTACAGTGTGCTCTAACACTGGAACAACAGAAGAAAATGAAATCTAATTTACTCAAGTCAGAGAGAGAAGCTCTCAGGAACCTTCACAATGATAACAATATAGTAATTGCCAAATCGGATAAAGGTAACTCAACAGTTGTAATGAACAAATCTGACTACATCTACGAAGTGTATGAGCCTATAGAAACAGGACCGTATAAGAAAATTAAGAAATCAGTGGATACTATTATGAATAAGGTTAAGAAATCGACAAAGGATCTGATACGCTGGATGAAGCTGCTTCTAGGTGTGTCAAATTGGTTTAATTTAATGCCGATAACTAATAATCCCAGTAGAATGTATGGTACTATTAAGATTCAAAAGCCGGGTTGTCTCAGTTTCAGGCCTATAGTAGATTTTAGAAACACTCCGAGTTGTCTAAATATTTAGCAATGGTGTTAGACCCAATAAGTAACCACTCAAAGTCTCGACTTACTAACTCTCATGACTTAAAGCATAGGTTAGACGACGTACATTTAGACAGCAGTGGAAAAAATGGTTAGTTTTGACATAACTAGCCTTTACACAAATATACCAATCGAAATGGTTCTAGAGGCAGCTAGAAATGGGCTTAAAGATGACAAAGAACTTACACATCGAACTAGGGTACCGAGCAAGGAAATCATACTAGGAGTACGGTTGTGCCTAACATCTAGAGTTTTTAATTTTCAAAATAAAATATGTAAATAAGCTGAATGTGTTGTCATAGGATCACCAATATCCCCTGTCGTAGCAGACATATTTATGGATAGTTGGGAACAGATGGCCCTTCAAACATTTAGTCCTACTCCAAAGATGATACGTTTACAGTACTGGAATCGGAACACATCAATAGGTTCTTGACACATATAAATTCAGTAGTGAATGCAATCCAATTCACCTATGACTTAGAAAATGAAGAAGGTGAGCTACAATCTCGGATTGCAAGATTAAACGAACACAAGAAGGAAATCTAGAGTCTAGTGTCTATAGGAAACCTACCCATTCGAATCACTACTTAGACTTCAAATCATCCCATCCCATTTCAATCAAAGTAGGCCTAGTTAAATGCTGAAGTGATAGAGCGAAAAAGCTTTCTAGTAGATGGTAGTCTGAGACAAGAAATTGGACACATCAAGAATACCCTACATCTACATAACTACCCACCAAAATTTATAAATAAATTCATAAGAAATCGAAACAAAAATATCAGTAGTGGTAGTAATAGTAGTGGTAATACAGATGTTACTAATAATAATCCCACTACTAATGGTAATAATGGTGACAGGGTTAAGAGAGAATTCAAAGCATCTACTGTGTTACCATGCAAGGAAGGCACCTCAGAAGCATTACGAAAAATTCTCAATAAGGTTGAGATTAAACTGGCACCGAAACCAACAGAGTCACTTAGAAACAAGCTATATAGGTTAAAAGATCCTATCGATGCAATTCAGCAAAGTAGTCTGGTTTACCAGATTCCTTGCAATGATTGCGAGGTCAAGTACATAGGTCAAAGCAGTCGACCAGGGTCGATTAGAATGACAGAGCACAAAAGCTCAGCTAGATCAAGATTAGTAGGTCCTAATAAGATAAGATAAGAAATCTAGAGAACAGCTCGTCTGTACCTGTGCACGGGATTACACACAATCACACAATAGAGTGGGATAGGGCGACAGTGTTGAAAAGTAACTTAGTTGAGTGGAGTGAGGGAGAGATTGATAACCGAATCTTTGTTTATCCAATCAACACTAAATACATGCAATCGAAATGATTCTGCACTTGTCTCAGATATAATGGGAAATTCTACTAGCCTTGTTATCACGGAGAAGGAGAGAAAACTAGGAATATATAAATTGTGTCTGGAAGTTGTTGAGTCAGTTACCTGATATGAATATGGACAGTAAATTGTGTCCGAGACGTTGTTATCTAGTAAATGGTACTGTTTCACTGTATGATATTTCTAATAAACAGACAAAAATACAATTACAATCGACCACAGTGCCCAAGTTTTACTCTTATACCAATAAAAAGTACTTTGTCTTTTTCATAAAAACTTACATCTTGACTATTCTTTGGAGTGGATAAGTTTTGTCTAAGAGAGTTGGAGTAAATCGTCTCTCCTAGCATACCAAGTTGTCCAACATTTTTATTGACAGTTTCTGGATTCCTCCTGGAATAAAATGCATAAGACTGTACATAGTAAAATTCTCTCAGAAGGTCAGTAAATGAATCGTTCATCTATTGTTACGTCATCATTGATAGATACTCTATGTATAATAGGACTGAAGTTATAGAAAGTATACAGAAACTAGTTGGTTGAATTGTTCTAATTTACTTGTCTATAAACTATAGACGTTGGCTGCATTCACGATTTCTTTAACACCAAAATGATTTTTAACGATTTAATATTCTAAGACTGTAAGTTTTACACGCTGTAGTCAATTTTCAAAACTTGAAAAGCCTCTTTAAAGGCATCCTGATAAACGAAATCCAACTATACTTCAAACACAGTCATCATTTAATGTTTGGAAACGGAGAAAAATCACAATTACTTACTTACTTTGAAAAGACTTTACTGTGTTACTGGGTGAGCTTTAAGAAATAGTGAAATTTGTAATACTGAATCAGTAATGATAATAATAATCACTCTAGCCTAGATAATAATTTTTAATACAATGTGGAATTCTCAGGGTAGTATTCCATCAAATATACCCCTTGTATATACTTTCAAATAAACAATCATGGTAGTTAAGTAATCTTAATACTAACAGTATGATAAGCAATAATAAACAGAGACCAGCTGTTTTTAGGTGTTTGTATAGTATCTCATTACGTCGTTGAACAGGTAGACGATAAAAAAAGCACTTCTAAGTTTTTTGGTAGAAGTTCACTCAACTACTTCATATCCACGAAGTGTGTTGATGTATTATGCCATCCATTAGTTAATATTTTCAATAAATCTTTTTTAGAAAGCACCATACTAGCTGCCTGGAAAGATATTAAGATAGTCCCTGTACCCAAGTCAGGGACTCTAAGAGCATGTCCGAAATTCCGTCCAGTTGCAGTTATCTCTCCGTTCTCGAGTCCTCATTGAAGGCTTTCGGAGACCCTAAACAGTTTGCATATGAAAATAGAAGAAGTACTTTGGATGCCACCATTGTCTTATCTTGTATCTTGACAGAAATGCCAGGTATGTTAGATGTGCCTTTTAGATCATACTTCAACATTTGATTCTGTCGAAGACTTCTTTCGCCAGATAAGCTACGTGAGACTAATGGTGAGTCTTGGGTAATTAGCTGGCTGCATTCCTACTTCTCTGAAAAGAAAAAACACATTGTCCACATAGGAGGGCGCTCCATTTCATTGCTTATGTGACTGATGTTCGTCAAGAAGCCGTCCTTTCCCCTGTCTTTTCTCTTTCTTACTGAATAACTGACCATCTTTATCTAGTATCAATTTCAATAAATACGCTGATAACCTAACGTTTCCATACGTGTCTCTTCTTCAACAGACTTCCTAACTGAATGATTTCCTATCTACTATTAGGCGATGGTCCTCCAAAAATGGTCCTACGCCTAATTCTTCAAAATGTCAGAGTATAGACTTTAGTTTTAGACGTGACTATAACCTATGTAAACTGCTTAGTTCTCATGATTCCTGTTCTGTTAACAGTTTGCAAGAGAACGTTACAAATGTGAATTATCTCGAAGTGTGTTCTTCTTTGGACGTTTTCTCGTCTCCCCGTATTTTACTAATTTCCAAAAGAATTTTCCACCTAACTTTCTACGTTAGGAAGCTGAGAGTATATGGTACAACTCAGCCTCTTTTCCTGTGTTTTATAAACTGCTGCATCATACCTGTTCTCCTTTACTTTTCACGGGGTTGCTTAAAAAACACTATGCTATATTGCGCAGACCGAGAAGTAATTTGGCAACTGCTCCAACACTTCGGAATACCGCAAACCTTTATCAACCTCATTCAACAAATATATGAAGATGCCACATTGGGAAGCTCAGTGACACCTTTGAAGTGAAGACAGGAGTGAAACAAGGCTGTTACTATCACCCATGATATTCCTGATTGTGGTCGACTGGATCATGCAACAAACAGTGAGGAGCGAGAAAATGGGCATACACTGTTTGACCGATGGAAAGACCCTGGAAGATTTTGATTTTGCCAGAGATGATGATTTATGTCTGATATCTTGTCGCACGAATTCGAAGATCTACAGGCGAAAGCTAACAACTTGACAGAAGAGGCAGGGCAACGAAGACGGGACTTCAAGTGAACGTAGAGAAGACTCTGGTGATGAAGATATCCAACGAACAACAACAAGCTCCAATCACCATCAACTAGAGAAACCTAAAGGAAGTAGTCTCTTTCACCTACCTAGGCGGCACAGGCACGGATAAGGATGTCAAATAAAGCCAGGATCAGAAAAGCAAGATAGGCTTCACTAACCTGAAACCAGTGTAGAGGTCTACTGCACTCAGCATAAAGCGTGAACAAGATCCGGATTTTCAACACTAATGTCAAGTCAGTGATTCTATGTAATGGTTGAGAGACTTGGCGTGTTACGAAAACCACTTCCAACAAACTACAGATATTCATCAACAACTGCCTATACTGGCTCGATACTGAAACTCAGATGACCAGAAAGAATGAGCAACAAGGAGCTCAATTCGACAACCAACCAACCAACAACCTACTACCCAACAAATATGCAGGAGAAAGTGGAGATGGATTGGGCTGGATATACACTGAGAAGACCGATTGGGGACATCACGCGTCAGGCCCTGCCAGGCCGTCGAGTGGAACCCAGATAGGAAGTGACGAGTTGGGCGTCTGAGGCGAGAGTGACATGGAGGAGATCATGTGAAGAAGAAATGAGAGCTTCTGGGCTGTAGTTCAGAAGATTGCAGAGGAAGGAGTGGAATGAAGACATGTTACTGAAGCTGTAAGTTCCACTAGGAACCCAAGTGACAAATAATAATATTAATAATATTGCGCAGAACTTCGAAGATTGTCAAGAGAACTAGTGGTGTACCTCTAAGCTTTTTAGTTCAATAGTTGTGGACAAACATATTAACTCATTAAAACACATATCAGGAGTTAATTTATCAGATGACCAACATCCTCTTCACTCAAAGCTCTCCGTCTATCGATCGTCTGGAAAGACAAGGAGCAATTATATACAACTTTATGCACGTACTACAAAATATAAAAAACTCAACATTGCCGTATTTAGCTTGTTTTGTGTGAAAGGAGGATAGCATTAAAAATGAACTAACTAGTCAACTTCTGTTTTTGAAGTCAAACTAATTGGTGATAAGCGTGACTTTAAATATGTAGTATGAATCTTATTGCTTGTGTGATTATCTACTTAAATTAACTGTACATTTTCAAGAAAGTTGTAGATAGAGCGAATATTCTAATGTAATTTATACTTATTTTGTTACGTATACATGTACACTACCTCTATTCAGTTGATGGTATATGATATGCTAGAAATTCGGTAGAATATTCTCGAAATAGCTTTCAGAATATAGCCATTATTATTATTACTAAACATTTTGAGTTCCAGCTAATTAATCCCGGAACAAGTTATACGATTTACTGCTGTGCGCTCAGGTGTTCTATTTTGTTGTTAACTTGTCTAACGATAAGCTGAAGATATTTGAAGAGCGCGCGAAAGTATGTTTAACGATTTGTTGACATTTGAATAATTCAAACAATAAAAAAACGAGTCATTTTTTTTTATAAAATATGTTCCATGAAAAATCTTTGGCGGGTCAAATTTTAAACCTGCTACCAATATATCAATATAGTATGGCATATAAAGTTTTTGTCCACTGGTTGAAAATAATTTTTAATACTTAAAAACGCACCTAACTGTCTTTTTTTAATCGATGAATTGTCACTTCTTACTGGACATAACTTTTAACATGAAATCATAAATAATGAAATGCATTCATTAAGGTAATTTTAATCAGACTGAAATGATTTACTGAGAGAATTAAGAAAGCATCAACGATTGAAGTTTGACCCAGTCATCCAATAGTAATGTGCTCATGACGGAACCTAAAGGTTATGGGTTCGATACCTGGTGGGGTAGGATTGGCTAAGCATAACTCATCTGACTCAACCTTTTTTTAAATATCAAGAGAGTTTTCACTTTTATAGATAATTATAATCTCAAAGTACAAAATTTATCTTAGTTTACCTGCAAAGCTGATTATTTCTTTCAATTAGCATTTCAAATTATCAATGTAAATTACCTTTGTCCTTACACGGTATTTTTATTGAAACAACTGTGTTTATTCAATTACCAATAATATTTTCAATAAAATTGAAAACTGAATATTCTTTTAATAGATTTTTTTTTAAAGAACGTTTAGAGTGCTTATTCTACTATTATCAACATTTATGAGATAAATAATACACCAATTTGCACATTCATTGAATCATAAGTGGGAATAATAAAACAGTTTTGTTTTAATTCAGCTGGTGTCCATGGCGGTCATTTTCAAATTTTCAACCTTTTAAGTGCAGTTGCATTAAATTCATCTTTAGATGAGGTTAAATGTATCATATAGGAAGGAAAACTATGAATTTATGCATGAAAGTTCATTATATTTCAAGTTACAGTACACGGTATTGACATTATGACAAATTTATAAAACTGATATCATAAGTGGGAATATTTTTAAACTTACTCAGAAGAATATGACTTTCGTGAACGTGACTGTCCAGTACATGTTAGAGATGAACCCTTTGTATCTAAAAAGTGGAAAATTAAGGTGATATCATGATTACAGATGGCAGTGTAGTAAATTTAAAGCACAAGTACTCTCATATCTGATATTTAGCACATTGTTGAGGTTCGCTTACTTTGGCCACGATCTGTTCTTTGGTTAAAGCATAAAATATTAGCTTTAAGGACATTTAAAGTTGGAATCATCACTACGGATTATGAGAGCACTTAGCCTATTTTCAACTAGTATAGCTTACAATGCTAACTTGCAGTTCGTTTGTTTAAGTATTTGAAAGAAATAACAACTTCTTTGATTTGAATTCTCTCCATCTGGATCCAAATCCATAGCAGAATATTCATCTAAGTAGGTCGTACTTGTTGAATTCAGCGGTGATTATGTAATATGAAACAATTAGTCCTTTTTATGAATTTGGATAATATAATTAGAAGAGGTAGATTATCTGAAAAATGTGATGTATTTGCGCTAGCATGAAGACGCAACATGTTTGTTAGAAAGACTTAACAACATACAAAATAACATAAGCTTAACATCTGAAGAAGAGAAAGAAAACCGTCTACCGTTCTTAGATATACCCTAAAGTCGTAGAAATAGCGGTTCAATAAAATGGTCGATTTACAAGAAAACCACTTCGACAGGTCAGTACTTAAGTTTCCATAGCATTTGTCCAACCGAATACAAGCGAGGTTTGGTAACTTGCCTATTCAAAAGGATCTAGCGTATTTGTACGGAAGATTCATTGGATAATGATATTAAAATACTAACGGAAATATTAGTGGGAAAGGGATATCCGTTGAAGTTTATAAACCTCTGCAAAAATCAGCCAGGATTGAAACCTAATTTGTACTCTGTTTCGAAGAAATGCATTTACATCACGTTACCATACAGAGGAGAATGTAACAGCATAACACTAAAACGAAGGTTGAGGTCTGCTGTTAACAAAACATACTATGCAACTAAGTTTATTGTAGTTGACATGACCAAACACCTACTGTAACCTAGACCTCAGCTCTGTATAAACGATTGCGTCACATCCCACTGAATTTATAAATTTCCTTGTATGTGTGTGTTTGTTGATAAACATACATAGGGAGGACTAATTGTGATATGCACTTGAGGGTAGGGGAACATGTGTCAAGATGGATTCACAAACACTGATAAGCGCAGGTGGCAGACAACTATCATCATCCACTGCAAAACATATCATTGATAAAGATCATAGGATTGACATTAAAACATTAAAGCAGCCTTTACAATTTTGTATTGAAACTGTCAAGGGCATATACTTAAGTTTGTTGAGGCGCTAGCCATAAACAAATTTAACCCCCATGGTGTATATAAAAACAGTTTTTCTTTACGCTAACCTTACTCCAGTAATGCTTATTTTAGTGTATTACCAGGGTTATCTTCTCAAATCTTATCTTTTTTTCCTTTCATTATCTCTCTTATTACCTCGTCTGGTTGACTAGTGCGCTAATTACTAGCCGGTCCTAAGCCCGGGGTAAAGAGGTAAGGTTGGGCGTAGGGCTAGCAACCCCACCCCGTAAAACCAGTCCAACCGATAAAGAAACTTCAAAGCACAAACGAAATATTAAAATAAAAACAAAATTATTCCTCACTGGAATCGGAGAGGCGAAATGAAAGAATCAGCAACAAGGAACTCGGGCAAGGAACCTATCACTCAACAGATAAACAGAAGAAAGTGGAGATGGATTGGGCTGGACATACGCTGAGAAGGCTGACTGGGGACATCACGCGTCAGGCCCTGCCAGGCCGTCGAGCGGAACCCAGATCAGAAGCGACGAGCTGGGCGTCCGAGATGAGGGTGACATGTTGGAGATCGTGAGAGGAAGAAATGAGAGCTTGTGGGCAGGCATTCGTGGAGCCAGGTTGAAAAGTTTGCAGAGAGGAGAGTGGAATGGAGACGTGCTACTGAAGCCCTATGTTCCACTAGGAACCCAAGCGACAAATAATAATAATAATCTCTTATTATTGAATTCCTTTGTTATATTTGTTCCTCCTCCACTTCCAGTTTTTATACATTATGCCTTAACAAGTAAATGGGTGATCAGATTATTCGAAATGTATGGCACAGATACATCACATTTTTCCGATGATCTACGTCTTCTAATTACATTATCCAGGATCATGTAATAGTTGGAATGGATAGATTCGAAGAAGCAGCCAACTGAAATTACAAGTTTTAATAAATGTACTCCATTTGAGTTTCTAGACAGTCTACAATACAATGACAGCCCCGAATAGCATAAGATTATCGATAGAACTAACTGTCCAGGGTACGGTAAACAGGCAATTAAAGAGGTTGGGAGTTTTTTTTTACTAAACTTCTACATGTGAATTATCATTCTTTCTTGTGATCAATATTTTACCCTTGTGTTCATTGCGTCCTCTGGTTTCCCCCTTGTAACTTCTTTTTAGTCAAAGAAAAATGAAAGTAACGATATATGGTAAGAAGGTTTCACAGAAGATCAGGTTTGTATTCACAGTCAACGTTAAACTGTGTTGATAAGATATGATATTGTTTGTATTATCCCAGTGTTTCTGAAACAGAATTGATCGGTCTCTATCGACATATGAGTTTTCAAGCTGATGGCTTGATGATGCCTGATTAATTACTGGCATTGGAATCCAGAACTCATATTTCATCCTGTTTGGAACTCGTCATCTCGATGCACCTGTCTCTTGGTGATAATACAAGTAACATGATGCAAACTATACCCATAACGCTCTGACATTTGGGACGCAGGCACATTTAGCTGACGAGTCCCAAGTAGGAAGAAACACGCGTCCTGGATTCCATTGCTAGTCGCTATCCATAATTATTATGTTAATAAGAGTCTTTAACCAGCTATTTCTGTCCCCATCTCTTCCAAATACAGTTCGGACAAACAGTTAAGTGTCTCATTGATTGATATCATGTATGGATCTGTTTAATGATAAGCTTTCTTCGAGATTAATCCCACTTCAGGCAATGTTATTCAATGAGATAGGCAGTATTGCATGTAATTCATGAACTAACCATATTAGTCAATGAATATTCACGACTTTATCAACTAATTTTTAAGCTTTACACAATACTCTGCACCCGATTTCTTTAAGATAGAAAGCTACAGTGAAGCTAAGCTAGGTCTTCTAAAGAACAGATTTGACTTTTGAAATTACTGCTTTCTCTGTTAGAGAAAATAGTCAACTAGATATGTGTCATAAAGCATTAAGGTTTATTCTCCAGAAATTAACCATCTCCATGTTGTATTTTATTGTTAGTCGTGTTTTATCTCATCATTTTTGCATGTACTTTATTTTGAAGATGCATGATAATGTGAACTCTTGTCAGGATTATAGCTAAGAGTTTTAAGTTCCAAAATGTGAACAAAATTATTCATTTACTCTGCATATGTCAAGTGAATGCAATTTTTTGTACTTCCTAATAGTTAGTGTTACTTACACCAACCTACTGAAATATTTGCACAAAAATTGATTAACCTCGTCTAGTTAACTAGTTCGCTAGTCACTCACTAGCCGGTCCTAAGCCAGGGTAAGAAGGGAACGTTGGGCGTAGAGCTAGCAACCCTACCCCGTAAAGCCAATCCAATGACTAAAGAAACTTCAAAGAACAGAGAAAATATAAAAATAAAATAAAATTATTCCTCGCTGTAATCGAAGATGCGAAAAAAGGCCGGTTGGTGAAAGCCTTCAGGAAGCCAGTCGGCCGATGTGTCTTCTCTCGATGAAAGTGAACAGGCTGGCTTCAAAGAACAAATCATGTACACATCAAATTGCAACACCACACTAAGCATCATCATACAACAAAGCATACAGTGACAGTCAACTGCATCTTCACCTCAAATTCATCAACTTCGAAAAGACCTTCCACACATCGACCGAAAAGTAATTTGCTAACTGCTGCTCCAACACTACACTCTCAGTGACACAAATCCCTCTTCAACCTCATTCAACAACTATATGAAGACACCACATACCAACTAATCCACAATGGAAAGCTCAGCGACGTCTTTGAAGTGAAGACAGGAGTAAGAAAAGGCTGTCACCAAGGCTGTCACCAAGGCTGTTATCACCAATGATCTCCCTGATTGTGGTCGACTGGATCATGCAGCGAACCGTGAGGAGCAAGAAGACGGGCATACGCTGGCTGTATCGATGAAAAGAGCCTAGAGGATTTGGAATTCGCCAACGATGATGATTCATGTTCAACGTGTGTTATGTGTCACAAACTGGAAGATGTACAGGCGAAAACGAACAAGGTGATATAAGATGTAGGGCAGCGAAACGGGACTTGAAGTGAATGTAGGGAGGATGGAGGTGATGAAGATACCCAGCGAACAACAGCATGAACAACAAGAGGCGCCAATCACCATCAACGGGAGAAATGTGAAGGGAGTAGTCTCTTCACCTACCTATCTATCTATCTACCTAGGCAGGCAGGCAGGCAGCATGGTTTCAACTACAGGCAACGACACAGGCACAGATGAGTATGTCAAAACCAGGAAGGGGAAGACAGCAAGACAAGTCTTCATCAATGTGAAATTAGTAAGGAGATCTACTTCACTCAACACAAAGAACAATATCCGGATTTTCAACACAAAATCAGTCAAGTAATTGAGTGCTTCCATGTGATGGTTGAGAGAGTTGGCACGTCACGAAGATCATTTCTAACAAACTACAGACATTCATCAGCAGCTGCTTACGCTCACTCGATACTGAAGATCAGATGACCAAAAAGAATAAGCAACAAGGAACTCACTCCAGCAACCAACGAACCAAGAAGCTATAACCCAGGAAATATGCAGAGGAAGGAAGTGGAGATGGGTTGTATTGGGTATACACTTACAAAACCATTCGGAGACATCACGTGACAGGTCAGGCCGTTGAGTGGAATCCAAAGAGGAAACGAAGAGTTGGGCTTCCAAGGTGAGAGTGACATGGAGGAGATGGTGTGAGGAGGAAATGAAAGCTTGTGGGCAGGCAGTCGTGGAGAGAGTTTCGAAAGACTGTAGAGAAGAGAGTGTAATGGAGGCGTGCTACTGAAGCCCTATGTTCCACTAGGAACCATGGCGGGATCTTAGGTATGCCCTACTAAGCAGTTCCATACTAGGATGAAATAGTTGTCTAGTACTCTCAGGTTTCCAATAATTCTCCAAATAATATTAGTCCATCATGAGCCATGGGTTACAAAGTGGCTGAAAAGAAACAGTATACTTTCTATAATGGAAGGCGATCCACTTCACTGCTTACTGAAGTCAGTGAGTTTCAGGGTGCAGTACTTGCTCCGTTTCTATTTTCTTTATTTCTGTGTGATTTACCTTATTCTATTGAAGCTAATTTCATCAGGTACGCTGATAATCTGATGGTTTCTGTACTAGTTAACTGTCATTTAGATTAAATGATTTCTCATCTGAAATTGACCAGTGGTCTCTCTCAAATGGTCTTCTAAATATCAGATTGTTAATTTTAGCCTCAGGTGCAGACAAGACTTATGTAATCTGCTTTCGTTTAACATATTACATAGAGAAACTGAGACTTTCTGGTATAAGTCAGTCTCTACTTCACAATTTATTGATTCCTCCATTACACTTATTCTTTTCTATTGTTCCTCATTTATTTTTTCCGGTCTAATTAAAAAAGAACTATGTTATATTGCATAGGGATTTGAAAGCCATCAGTCAGTAGGGTAAGTGCTGAGTCTCTGGCTCAGCTGATGAACACAGTGGTTGACAGACATTTAAATTCCAGCAGGCAACTAGCTAGAGTAATTTTAACCGACAATGAGCATCCACTTTATTCACAGTTCTCTCCTTTTGTCTTCCCTCAGAGAGGTCAAGAAGGAACTACATAAGACTATATGCTCGTACAGCTAAGTACAAGAATTCGACTGTACCTTACCTAGTAGGCATCTTATGTAAGAGAAAAAGTGTGTTAGAACAGAACTCACGTATCTACTGTGTGAAAGTTAATAATCTCATTTCAATAATTTAATTAAGAATGTAAAATTTTCTCGTTATTAATATTGTTTATATTGGTTACGTTTTTCATAATGACAGAAATCGAAATGTTGTATAGGAGTACATACGTGCATAGATTTTGTTGTTGTTGCAATATATCATTATGAAAATTCCAGATTGTACCAAAATTCGTTTAGAATAAAGTGAATATTATTATTATTAATAAGGATGTGGACAATAAACTGCATTCATTATCGACTATTATCAGTTGAAGAAACATTGAACAGGCATTTCGTCCTAGTACGAGACTCTTCAGTAGTTTGTACCCACAATCTCTCCCCGTCAGAAAGTGACCCAGAACTTTCAGGTTCTATGACCAGTATGTTAACATAAGCCATTAAGTTAGAATCCAACGGTCCATACTTCCTACTTTTGTCAATCCACTATATAGCATGACATACGTCCATTGATAGTATCGAGTAACTATCTTCATGTTCAACTTGGTTGACCCCACCGGTCGTACTATATCGTGAACCTACATGAGCAGGGAATATGGACCATTGGTTCCTGCTAAGTGGTCTAATGTAGAGTGCTAGTCGTGAAACCTGAAGGTCCTGGGGTGGTTACTACTGAGAAGTCTCATACAAGCACGAAAAGGCTGTCCAGTATGTCTAGGTTTCCAATGTTTCTCCAAATGATGTCAGTCCAAGGTGAGTACCAACCTGAAATTAAATAACTCGCCACAAAGCTAACAACTGAATAAATTCTGTGTGAAACGTTGTCCAGTGGTAATATCCTGCTTCACTGTGATAACTTTGATAAACAACTCAGAATGGAATCCTGAAGAAAAAAATGATACCTGTCTATCATGTGACTTCCTTACATCGGCTTTTATACTTACCATAAATCTTTATTAAACCTGTATCGCTTTACGGATTAGCTGTTAAAGCAGATCGCGTTGATGAAATTCGGGGTGACACTGAAGTATTTAACTTGAAAAAGTCAAGTTTGTTGCATTGTGCAACTGTTCAAGCCTTCAACAGCTAGACACTACTTCCCTTTTGAATTATCAGTAAAGTTATTCAGCCTGATGATGAAACATTAACAATCAGATAGCCATAGCTGAAGAATACCCAACAATTAGCATTGCCATCTTGAGGTAGAAATCACAAATTGAGTCATAAAACATATTTTGAGATGAATAAGGATTTTTAATTTAGAGGTAGTATTCATTACTGACTGAAATCAATTAGGGACTCCTTTAGCAGTACGCACTTACGACTCGGCTAGGGATCAAACTGACAACCTTCATGTTTCACCGCGAAAGTGTTAACAATTCAGTCACTGGGTCGGTTTTCACTGGTTCACAGTTTCCAGCTTCTATCAGTTCACGATATAGCACGACTATCACCCAAGGTCTTCAGTTAGCATCCACTTTTCTTCCAACTAGTTAACCCCACTAAAATCTGACTCAGTGGCTGAAACGTTAACACGTTCGCCGTGAAACCTGAAGTCCTACTTACTGCCAAGGAGTACCATACTAGAGTGAAACAGCTGTCGAGTATTCTCAGATTTCAATAGTTCATGAAATGATGTCAGTCCGTGATGAAACATATCACTTTTCAAATTTACCATGTGTGACTGGATAAAATTCTAATATATGAACAAGAAAATCAGAGAAATTCAACTTTATAAGAAGGTTTAAGTTTATAAATTCATCTTCACAATGTCAATACAACTGAAAAAGTAGGAGATAGGCTACAACTTAGGGTCTTAGTAATCCAAATTGACCAGCATACAAACATAAATTACACTTACCTGGTGTTGATGAAGTGAATTCTGAGGCTGTATGTATATTGATTAAAGATGAATCACTTCTATGAACCCAATTATTTTCTTTTTGGTACTCCTTATTTGAACTGATTCCTAAGTGCTATACGCTAATTGAGTAGCTAATGTTACTAGATCCTCTTTATAATCTGCAATACTTTGTAAAACTTCATCAATCGTTTCTTCAATGCTAGATCCATTTCTATTATTCATTGGACTGAAAATTTTTTGTTCTTGAGATTCTAAATCCTTTTTTATTTTGACTTCATTGAAAGTTAAGTAAGGTAATAATTCAGTTGATTCACCGGTTACAGATTTATAGACATCAGTTTTTAATTTGGAATATGTTGAGGGATATTCTGTCTTTAACTGTGAACAGTTATGATCTAAATTAGGGGTACTATTTATTGAAGTAACCGATGTCATTCGTTGAGTACTAACCTGAAAAAAGTAAAATTTTGTAAAATATTTAACAAAGTTTATTTCAAATGAAGATGAGAAATTAAGTTTCATTCAAAGAACCAATAGCTATTAATAATCCTTATACATTTCGAGTATGCCTGGCTTATGATTAGATTTGTTATATTATTCATAAACACCTGAAGTGAATTTCTTCAAGATTGTTATATTTTGCATAAATATTTCAGAAACAAGTGTAGACATTTACTGAGGTATTGATCACTCTCATAGAATCTGTTGATAACAGTATGGTGCAACAATTCAGTAAACTGGTAGATTCACTTTTAGTTTGTTAGTCAGATTTCGGTTTCACATGGAAACATTTACTCCAGTAAATGCATAACAGCTGAAAATCTGGATACTGTAGAACCTAGAGTAGTAGACTTCATCAGCTGAGTTGTATCTAGTTACTAGGTTTTACTATGGTCTTGGACCTCTAGTTGAAATCAGTTACTGTTCCTGGATATAATAATCAGCATGTCAACTGGATCTATCTCAAACGGTATGGCTAATGGTTATGTTACAATAATATAAATTCAGTAGTGATTGCAATCCAATTCACCTATGACTTAGAAAATGAAGAAGGTGAGCTAACAATCCGGATTGCAAGATTAAACGAACACAAGAAGGAAATCTAGAGTCTAGTGTCTATAGGAAACCTACCCATTCGAATCACTACTTAGACTTCAAATCATCCCATCCCATTTCAATCAAAGTAGGCCTAGTTAAATGCTGAAGTGATAGAGCGAAAAAGCTTTCTAGTAGATGGTAGTCTGAGACAAGAAATTGAACACATCAAGAATACCCTACATCTACATAACTACCCACCAAAATTTATAAATAAATTCATAAGAAATCGAAACAAAAATATCAGTAGTGGTAGTAATAGTAGTGGTAATACAGATGTTACTAATAATAATCCCACTACTAATGGTAATCATGGTGACAGGGTAAAGAGAGAATTCAAAGCATCTACTGTGTTACCATGCAAGGAAGGCACCTCAGAAGCATTACGAAAAATTCTCAATAAGGTTGAGATTAAACTGGCACTGAAACCAACGAAGTGGCTTAGAAACAAGCTATGTAGGTTAAAAGATCCTATCGATGCAATTCAGCAAAATAGTCTGGTTTACCAGATCCCTTGCAATGATTGCGAGGTCAAGTACATAGGTCAAAGCAGTCGACCAGGGTCGATTAGAATGACAGAGCACAAAAACTCAGCTAGATCAAGATTAGTAGGTCCTAATAAGATAAGATAAGAAATCTGGAGAACAGCTCGTCGATACCTGTGCACGGATTACACACAATCACACAATAGAGTGGGATAGGGCGACAGTGTTGAAAAGTAACTTAGTTGAGTGGAGTGAGGGAGAGATTGATAACCGAATCTTTGTTTATCCAATCAACACTAAATACATGTAATCGAAATGATTCTGCACTTGTCTCAGATATGTGGGAAATTCTACTAGCCTTGTTATCACGGAGAAGGAGAGAAAACTAGGAATATATAAATTGTGTCTGGAAGTTGTTGAGTCAGTTACCTGATATGAATATGGACACTAAATTGTGTCTGAAGCGTTGTTATCTAGTAAATGGTACTGTTTCACTGTATGATATTTCTAATAAACAGACCAAAATGGAGTTACAATTCGATGCGTCTAAGTAATATGAGGAGAAATTGCTATAACTAACCTTTGACTGTCTGTCATTACTGGTCATCAAACTGTTTTGCTTGGATTGTGATTGTTGTTTACTTTGTGTTTGATATTGTGTACCAACTAGTTTTGGTGGTCTCCCTCTACCACGATGTGTTGTTGATGAAGTACTTTGATTCGTTTGGTTGTTACCATCATGGGTCTTTTGTCGTCCAGATAACTTCAATGTAGCAGGTTTTGTGCATATAGGACCTGATGTTTGTTGTGACTGTTTCACATATGACTGCGATTGACGCTAAAGTAAAGAGTAGGGATACAATTTGTTAGAAAATCTTTCAAACCTTCGTAAATGATTAGAGGTTTGACTAGAGGTTGTTCATAAATACTTTAAGTCAAAAATTCCCTTCACTAACTTTTACCTTAAATGTCCAAGTTCGGTAAATATTCAGACCAGGTATAAAGGTAGAGTCTCGTGCATTAGTTTCTTTAGTGACCAAAAGTATATGTATACAGGAAACTTTTGATTATGTTGAATGTCCTAATTATGAAGTTTTCACTTTCATTCTAGACAACATCACCTGAAATGTGTACTGATAATGTTATCTAGAATGATAATGAAAGTTTCATAATTAAAACATCCAAATCAGAGAACGTGACACCATCAAAATCATCCTCTTGAACCACAAATATTTTCCTAACGAGGGACGAGAGACACCGAATACATAGGGATTTGATCTAAAGCCATACCACAGCCGCTTCAGAAGTTAGTCTGCAACAAAAACACTCTTATTAATTATAGACAGTGGTTAGTAATGGGATCCAGTAAGACAGTTTCGTCCCACTTCAGAATCGTAAGCTTGATACAGTTGTCTCTCAGTCAGTGACGTTGTTCCCACTAAGACTCAAACGCGGAGTCGATCACCGCAGACACCACAACGTTACCATTTCGCCACCGGGTAACGATATCCACTACTTGTGCTTTTATGCTGTCTATCCTTAATGTAAAACTGAAACAGGCGATATCCAGGCAACCACACAGGATCCCTTATGTCAAAAGAGACCGATCAACAACGAGACAATAAAAGTAACAGTAAAGAAATACTCTTGTATTTAGTCGTACAGATGACCGGTGCAATTGCAGCAGAACAGGCTGTAGGAAGGAGAGGCCTGATAACACTATATCAAATAACCAGGTTACTATCTGGGAAGAGATCAACGCAGATGAAACCAATGAAGGAAAGCAAGTTCATAAAGAGGAAAAACAAAGGAAACAATGGACTGACCACTTCAAAAACTCTTGAGTCAATCACCACCAGCAAATCGTACAGAAATACCACCAGCAACAGCAGAAATACAAGTGAACAAACGTCCTCCGAAAAAGCAGAACTCATGAATGCCATAAGACTGCTGAAATTCGAGAAAGCATCAGGACCAGATGGAACTCCACCAGAAGCACTGAGAAAAGATGCAGAGACATCTGCAACGGACATTCTCACACCACTAATGCAGAAGGATTGGAAGGAAGGAAGGAAAGGTACCTGCAGATTGAAAGAAGGACTACCTTGTAAAACTCCCAAAGAAAGGAGACATAGGTCTCTGCAGGAACTGGCACGGAATCATGCTGCTGTTCACCCCAAGCAAAATATTATGCCGCATCATCCTAAAGAGACTAAAGGATAGGCTGCATTCAAAATTATGACCGAACAGGCTGCCTCGCTGGCTGGCTTCAACAAGAACAAATCATGTACACATCAAATTGCAATACCACACTAAGCATCATCATACAACAAAGCATACAGTGACAGTCAACTGCATCTTCACCTCAAATTCATCAACTTCGAAAAGACCTTCCACAACATCGACCGAAAAGTAATTTGCTAACTGCTGCTCCAACACTACACTCTCAGTGACACAAATCCCTCTTCAACCTCATTCAACAACTATATGAAGACACCACACACCAACTAATCCACAATGGAAAGCTCAGCGACGTCTTTGAAGTGAAGACAGGAGTAAGAAAAGGCTGTCACCAAGGCTGTCACCAAGGCTGTTATCACCAATGATCTCCCTGATTGTGGTCGACTGGATCATGCAGCGAACCGTGAGGAGCAAGAAGACGGGCATACGCTGGCTGTATCGATGAAAAGAGCCTAGAGGATTTGGAATTCGCCAACGATGATGATTCATGTTCAACGTGTGTTATGTGTCACAAACTGGAAGATGTACGGCGAAAACGAACAAGGTGATATAAGATGTAGGGCAGCGAAACGGGACTTGAAGTGAATGTAGGGAGGATGGAGGTGATGAAGATACCCAGCGAACAACAGCATGAACAACAAGAGGCGCCAATCACCATCAACGGGAGAAATGTGAAGGGAGTAGTCTCTTCCACCTACCTATCTATCTATCTACCTAGGCAGGCAGGCAGGCAGCATGGTTTCAACTACAGGCAACGGCACAGGCACAGATGAGTATGTCAAAACCAGGAAGGGGAAGACAGCAAGACAAGTCTTCATCAATGTGAAATTAGTGTAGAGATCTACTGCACTCAACACAAAGAACAATATCCGGATTTTCAACACAAAGTCAGTCAAGTAATTCAATGCTTCTATGTGATGGTTGAGAGAGTTGACGCGTCACGAAAATCATTTCTAACAAACTACAGACATTCATCAGCAGCTGCTTACGCTCACTCGATGCTGAAGATCAGATCAGATGGCCAGAATAATAGGATTAAGCAATAATGAACTATGGGAACGAATCAACCAAGAACCTATCACTCAAGAAATATGCAGAGGAAGGAAGTGGAGATGGGTTATATTGGGTATACACTGAGAAAACCATTCGGAGACATCACGTGACAGGCCAGGCCGTCGAGGAAACGAAGAGTTGGTCATCCGAGGTGAGAGTGACATGGAGGAGATGGTGTGAGGAGGAAATGAAAGCTTGTGGGCAGGCAGTTTTGGAGAGAGGTTCGAAAGGCTGTAGAGAAGAGAGTGTAATGGAGGCGTGCTACTGAAGCCCTACGTTCCACTAGGAATTGAAGGGACAAATAATAATAATAATAATAATAATAATAATAATAATAATAATAATGCAGATGACCGGCAGGTTACAGCCATAAACAAATGCATAACTCCAGTTTGACTATTTAATATGATAATCGTGGTTTACAAGACTTGTATTATTCATAGCGAGTGATGAGTGAAAGTGGAATGAAAATCAGTACCACGATTGCGCTACACTTCACTTTCCTTTAGATTTCCTTTAGATATTTAGCATAGAAATATCATGTGAAATAAAGGATATTATACTAAAATGCCTAATAGGCAATATGCTTCAATTTTTATCTTTAATGAACAGACAAATCTAAATTGTTTTGTTACTCCGTTTGTTTTTCTCCTTATTTCTTTTTTATTAGAAATTTACTAGTTAGTGTTTATTATCAAGGATTGGTTCACTATTCTTCTTCATGATATTGATTTTTGACCAAAAAAAAAAAATTTGTCTACTTCTTTGTGTCAACAATTTAATGTTCACCTTTTCTCTTTGTATTCCTTTGTATAAAAGAAACTTGTCCATGTATTATGACTGACCTTCACGCTTCTAATTTAATTCATTTTCACACTAACCTTGACATGTATTCGACTTTCAATATTGAATGAACATGCAATAACTTAAGTGCTATTTTTCATTTTCAATTGAATACGAATTAATTATATACAGTAGAAAGAATTTGTAGATTAACTGTGAATAGTAATGATGGTTAGTGGTTAGCAAGGGAATCCAGGATGCACATTTCATCCTATTTGGGACCCGTCAGCTGGATATACCCGCTTCCCGTTGAGTGATGTTGTTCCCGTCTGGATTCGGACTCAGGGGCGATCACTTCAAACGTGAGAGCGTTATCCAGTACACCACCAAGCCATGAAAGCCACTTCTTGTGCTACGGGTATAATTTTAGTGTTTCTGCTTGTATTACACCGTCGTTGATTGAACCGAATTGAATGTGAATGTTAAAATTATCAGTTTGACTAGCTGAGATATCCATAGTTTGAATTTCGAGGAGGTTGTAGAGATTTAGAAATATTTCAAGTTGGTATCCATCGTAGACTGATATCAGTTAGAGGAACAATGGAAGCCTGGGAATACTGGACAGCTGTTTCATCCTAGTATGGGACTCCTCAGCAGCGAGCACCCATGACCTCTCACCATTAGGATCGCATTATGTCGTGAACTGACCGAAGTTGGAAATATGGACCATTGGCTCATCAGTAATGTGCTGGCCACGGAACCTGAAGGTTGCGGGTTCGGTCCCTGGCGGGGTCGTGGGTGCTCACTGCTGAGGAGTCCCATACTAGGATGAAACAGTTGTCCAGTGCTCCCAGGCTTCCATTGTTCCTCTAACTGATGTCAGTCTACGATGAATACCAGCCTCAGCGTCCTCAAATTCAAATAGATTTGGACTGAGATAAGAAGTTCTGACTGATCAGTCAATGAGAGTACGTTCAAGCAATAGTATGGCGTTGTGAATGCATATGGCAATTGCATAAAACCCCAGGTCAGTAGTCGATTCTCATAGCTTAGTTAGTAGAGCACATAGCTAATAGCCCGGAAGTCGGCGGTTCAAATCGTACCACGGTTCAGATTTGCATTCCACCTTCAATCATCCCTCAGCATTAGTGATGATATTGAATAGGCAAGGGTTATTCGTATGACTATGGAGTTCCGATTTTGAAAATCTTGATGACTGCATGGTTCTTCGAATAAAAAATAGTTTGCCTAGATAAATAATGAGTAGGTCAATCCGACTATTTACTTTCCGAAGACTGGTATCTAGACAACAAGCGTTTTTATGTAACTTGAGTATAGTATAACAGCTGTCTGTATAAATCTATTGAAATTTCATAAAGAAGTAGGAAAATCTTCTGACTTTCGTTAGTAAATAATTTAAGTGCTTGTAAGTTAATGTTCCTTACACAGATGACTGAAATTGAGTGGGAGAAAATTTAGAACCCAAGGTTTTCAGTTGTTGAGTTCCATTATGAGCTCCATCTGAGTGACTGAATGAAGCCTATATCATAAAGTGTAGAAGTTTAACTTCAGCTAGGTATTCTGTCAAGAGATCAAAAACGCACTAATAATAAATAAAGTAGACCATGATTTTCTATCACTTAGCTTAGTACGCTCATTGGACACTTGACTGATGAGTTGCATCGGTTGGCAGTCAGTTATCAATATGAGTAGATTAAAACTGGTTAAATATACAGTAGTAATCAAAGCTGTCTAGAATTGATCATGACCCAGATGGTATTATTGACATATACTGGACTGGAAAAAAATTCCATGATGTTGTTTTGTAGAATAAACATTTAGAGAAGATCGAAAAAGATCTCGGTGGCTATCATGTTACAATATCACGTGTGATAGCTTAGATGTATTAGAAGTACAAAGTACTTCGCCAAGCGTGACACATTAGGGTAGGCGGTGACTCGTCATACGCAGAACTTATCCAAGTCAACTAAGCCGACCAAGATTCACAATGTCATCAGTCGACTTGCCTGTCTTGCACGTAGTACCTTTCGCCTTACCTTATACGGTGATTCCATCAAACTTGGGTGATATCACGAAGACACCTGTGGTCAAAACCCTGTAATCGCACCATATCTTGCGCTTTTAACTACCATATCTCAGTCGCATAACAAGATAGATCAGACTGCAGCTCAGTATATACGTCCTTTGATAGAGAATAGGATGTTCTGTCAGTTGACGTCACAGATGACGCAAGTTGGCAAATGCCAAACGGGCCTTATATATCCAAGCTGAGATTCCGTCAGCAACCAACCCATTTGGGCACATGTGACTTCCCAACTAGCTGAAGTGGTTGACACATTAAACTGAGAATACTTGCAGCAGACCAGTTCTGAAGCATAATTTTATATTTGCCAGAAGCCAGTAAAATGCATCAGTCAGTTAGGGTGGTTACATGTCAACAGTGAATAGAATAAAAGCCTAGTACTGTTATTTCTGCTAGGTACTATAAGGAGAATATTTTACAAAACTAGTTTCCATGTTATAGATGGCAAATCTCCATCCCTGATCAAAGCAAGCTGGTTGGCCATTGTGTGCATATATTCTCCTGTGCAGATGCCACGATATTGCCGGTAGTTTCAGTCTTGATATTACTGACAGACAGCGGTTAGCAGAGAAACCCAAGACGCGCGTTTCGTCCTATATGGGACTCATCAGCCGGATGTGCCTGTCTGCCAATAACTTACTAAGTGGTGGGTGCATCTGGCTGACAAGTCCTAAATGGGATGGAACAGGCACTCTAGATCTCACTACTAGCCACTACCAATCAATGCGTATAAACATTTTTTTCAGTCAAATGTTTAATTTACCGACAATTCTGATCGACAAAGCAAAGATTACTGAAGATAAGTAAATATCATTCTTGAGTTAGATTTATTATGTAAGTATATATTTTGCATGTTCTTTCTAGAAGTTTCTGGAAGTACAGAATTTTAATGAGGATACTTGAGTGGTTACAGAAATATGAGAAAATAGGTGTTTTAATGAAAAGCAGTTATTATTAGGTAATTCATATTACCATATGAACAAGATCCTGATTTTCAATACTAATCCAGTCAAGTCAGTGCTTCTGTATGGTTCAAAGACTTGGCGCGTTACGAAAGGGATTTCCAACAAACTATAGACATTCATCAACAACTGTCTACGCTGGCTCGTTACTAAAGATCAGATGGCCAGAAAGAATAAGCAACAAGGAACTCACTGTGGCAACCAACCAACCAAGAACGTATCACTCAACAAATGTGCACTGGAAAGAAATGGAGGTGGATTTGGCATACACTGGGGACATCACATGCCAGGCCAGACTCTCATATGGAACCCAGATGGGAAGTGATGAGTTTGGCGTCCAAGGCGAGGGTAACATGGAGAAGATCATGTAAAGAAGAAATGAGAGCTTGTGGGCTGTCATGGAGCCAGGTTCAGAAGTTTGCAGAGAAACGAGTGCACTGAAGATGTGCTACTGAAGCCCTATGTTCCACTACGAACCCAAGAGATAAATAATAAATAATAATAATATGGACGTTTTTAAACGCACCTTATCATTATGATTTGTAGGATCATTTAAACACTTGCTAAGAAATGTTAAAACCTCACTGAATGACTCTTTAGGTTCAGGATTTAAACTTTTTGCCTGTTGATATGAATTATTGACTGAACCAATCTGCATTAAGTTAGATCCATTTGATTGTGATGTAAAATTTGAAACGGATTGATCTTGATAACAAAAAAAAATTAAAAGGATGATATTAGTGAAATAATTACGTAATCTCTGAGTATTTTATCTATGAAATAGGTACAATGATAATGATTAATTAAATACTAGCTGGTTAAGTTATTTTACCTGAGGTTTCAACTGTCTTATAATTACCATATACAGCGTTCATTACCATCATTAAAGCTTGAGCGTACGCCAAAGTATTCACAGAAGAGTTATTGTTTGCATCAGTTATTAATGTATTATTATTATTATTAATTGACTGAGATATGGAGTTATGAGGTAATACTTGACCCAATGAGTCAGATGAAGAATAAAATGCTTGATTACCAGTGTGCATAGTATCATTAAGTTGAAATAAGTTTGAATATCTGAATAATTCAGATATATTGTCTCGAAAAAATGGGTTAGCTTGTTGTTGGCGTTGACTTTCAATCTGAAGAGTACACAGATCATTAAAAAGCTGTTCTGTTAATAATGTATTCTGACTTTTTGCATAATGAAGTAATTGATCTTGTTCAGAACTTAAACCTATTGAAGAAGGATTTTGTAAAGAAACTGAAGGAAAAGTTTTATAAGGATAAGTTCTTGTTGCTTCTGTGGTTAGTACATTAGAATGATTTCCAGGAATATGACTAGATTGATCTGAATGTTCCATATCCATTCGACTGTACATTTGGTTGAGGAACGTCAACTGAGGTATATCTTGTACACCTAATCCTCTGTAAGAATTATGATGAGAAGAATTTTCTCCAAGTGTTGGATTATTGCAAGCTGTAAACGGAAAGGAAAACTGAATTTTTTTTAAGATACTAGCATAGAGAAATTAACAAAAAAGGAAAAATGAGTGAAACACACCTTTCTTGTCGACAGGTCACCTCCAGTCAAGACCAATTTCCCTAAGAACTGAAACTTAATTCATAATAGTAAGCTCAGTCTATTATCCTATAATATCTTAAATACTCTGGTCAACAGTAGTTACTTTCATATTACACTGTCTAGAAGTTAAACTATTCATTTGGTAATCTCAGATAACCTTCAGCTGTTTGACAAGCTTGACTTTTCCTCTCCAAGGATACATTCAAGGATACTTTCTTATGCTGTAAATACTACTGAGTATATCCAGTTTGATCATTTCACATTCACCACCTATTTGAGACGGGATTAGTCTTCAAGTAGAGTATGAGGCAATTCATGTGTTAATAATTCACTGTTCAATGTTGTTTTATTGATATAAATGATATAAAAACGCCCATATAAAGATTTCAGTCGGGAGTGTGGGGCTTAAAACAAGAAATAAACAATGAAAGTATTGTATTTTTGAGATGAATGAGGATTTTTAATTTAGAAGTAGTATGCATCATGGACTGACATCAGTTGGGGAACCATTGAAAAAATCTGAGACCTGTGGGGTCAACTAGTCGGAAGTGAAGTGGATGCTAACTGAAGACCTTGGGTGAAGGTCGCGCTATATCGTGAATTGACAGAAGTTGGAAATTGTGAACCACTAGAAAACCAACCCAGTGGCTGAATGGTTAATGCGTTCGCCGTGAAACCTGAAGGTCCTGAGTTCCACCCCTAGCCGGGTTGTAGGTGCGTACTGCTGAGGAGTCCCATACTAGGATGAAACAGCTGTCCAGTGCTCCCAGATTTTCAATGGGTCGCCAACTGATGTCAGTCCATGATGAATACTACTTTTAAATGAAAGTATTCTCTGTCATCCCAATAAAACCCTTAGATATTGCTTTTGTTATTGCTAAACGAAATGAAATTTGAAGTGGAAAAAAGTATGGAAGGATGCCCTGTGATTACGTAATGACAGCAATGGTCAGATACAGGTATATATAGATCATCCGATAAAAATGTAACATGACATATCAAGCAATGAAAGGCTATTTGTATGAAATTATCCCTATAGATTGTTAACAAGTTTGTATTTACAACAAAATAGTTTTCCAGTACTACTTCCTTTCACTTAGTGTTCAAACTAATATCACCCATCATAAGAAATGATCGTTCAACACTCCAGTTTGTCAAAGACCACTATTCTTTGCTAATCAACGGAAATAAATACAACAGTGGACGCCAGTGAATCAACTACTCTCAGGATAACAAACTGCTCATTTAAACGAAATCAGTGATACTGGTGGTGTTGTTGTTGTCTATGTTTAATCTAGATAAACAAGATTTACTATAGAAAAGTAGTATTAAAAACGTTTAAAATATAAAATCAGCATGATTTATATTTCATTTAGGCTTATTCAATCGATGAGTATCTAAAGTAAATACAGTGACATATTTATCATTTGTCAACATAGAACATTTCAACAAAAGTTTTCAATCAATATCAAGTACTTTGAATAAGTGCAAGAGGTTAATTTCGATGAATATTGATGTGTAGCGCTAAAAAAGCTATTTATCAATACGACTAAAGTATTCAGTTAAAGTTCTGTTTTACTAAATACCTGCAGATCATTATTATTATTATTCTCTTGGATTCCTACTGGAACATGGGGCTTCAGTAGCACACCTCCATTACACTATCCTCTATACAGCCTTTCGAACCTCTCTCCACCACTGCCTGCCCACAAGCTTCCATTTCCTCTTCACACCGTCTCCTCCATGTCACTCTCACCTCGAGCGACCCACTCGTCGTTTCCCTTTTGGATTCCACTCGACGGCCTGACCTGTTACGTGATGTCTCCGAATGGTTTTGTAAGTTATACCCAATACAACCCATCTCCACTTCCTTCCTCTGCATATTTCCTGGGTTATAGCTTCTTGGTTCGCTGGTTGCTACAGTGAGTTCCTTGTTGCTTATTCTTTTTGGTCATTTGATCTTCAGTATCGAGCCGGCGCAGGCAGCTGTTGATGATGAATGTCTGTAGTTTGTTGGAAATGCTCTTTGTGACGTGCCAAGTTTCTGAACCATCACATACAAGCACTGACTTCACTGATGTTGGTGTTGAAAATCCTCATCTAGTTCCACATGCTGAGTGCAGTGCAATAGATCTTCACACTGATTTCAGATGAGTGGAAGCCTGTCTTGCTTCTCCTATCGTGATTTGACAATTTCGTCTGTGCCGCCTGCAGTTGAGAGAATGCTGCGTAGATGCGTAAGTGAAAGAGACTACTCCCTTCACATTTCTCCCGTTGATGGTGATTGGCGCCTCTTGTTGTTCATGCTGTTGTTCGCTGGGTATCTTCATCACCTCCATCCTCCCTACATTCACTTCAAGTCCCGTTTCGCTGCCCTACATCTTATATCACCTTGTTCGTTTTCGCCTGTTCATCTTCCAGTTTGTGACACATAACACACGTTGAACATGAATCATCATCGTTGGCGAAATCCAAATCCTCTAGGCTCTTTTCATCGATACAGCCAGCGTATGCCCATCTTCTTGCTCCTCACGGTTCGCTGCATGATCCAGTCGACCACAATCAGGGAGATCATTGGTGATAACAGCCTTGGTGACAGCCTTGGTGACAGCCTTTTCTTACTCCTGTCTTCACTTCAAAGACGTCGCTGAGCTTTCCATTGTGGATTAGTTGGTATGTGTGTCTTCATATAGTTGTGAATGAGGTTGAAGAGGGATTTGTGTCACTGAGAGTGTAGTGTTGGAGCAGCAGTTAGCAAATTACTTTTCGGTCGATGTTGTGGAAGGTCTTTTCGAAGTTGATGAATTTGAGGTGAAGATGCAGTTGACTGTCACTGTATGCTTTGTTGTATGATGATGCTTAGTGTGGTGTTGCAATTTGATGTGTACATGATTTGTTCTTGTTGAAGCCAGCCAGCGAGGCAGCCTGTTCGGTCATAATTTTGAATCGAGAGCATCCGCAGACCATCATATTTTGTTGTTTCATGTTGTGATGTTTGTTTGGTTAGTGGTAAAACCTGGTTTACAGTGTAATCATTAATTATTACTACAAAGTGAAATTTATACTTTTCAGTTGCTGAGTGTTTATCGGAGACATTATGAAGTTTTTGAGAAATGAATTAATGAAGATTGAGAATTCAAAGTTGAGATGACATTCAGATGAAATTATCTAACTCGGTGAGGAAATATTCACATCCGGATGTCAAAGCTTCAAACAGATTATGATAGTCAGCAAAACTATGCTAATCAATGTTTCTTGTCAATAAGTTCTCATCTATGAAGTATATCCAGAACATACAGAAAACGTGTACCAGGATATAATCTTAATCACTTCCTAGGGATAAATATTACTTTTAGTGTGTAGTGAAGAAAAGACCTCGCTTTGCTCATGCGGTTTCGTATAAACACTAATATATACCATATAAATAACTTGATAAGCTATCAATCCTTTTTGAAACAGTTAGCTAATTAACATCATGGTGTGTTATTCTATCATATTTATTGCCTAACACTGTTTTCATATATAATGCTCAAGTGAACCCGTCAATTAGCTTACTGAGAATAGAATTTATATTCAAATGTTAAGGAGATATAAGAAAACTAACCAAATATATCTGGAATCATTCTTAGATTATTCCATAATTGTATAGGAATATTACCATCAACAGGATTTATATTTATACCATTAAAACACTCCAATTTATTTTCTTTCGATCGATAATCTTTTGTGATATTCTGATTATCTTTAGCTTTTTGTTCTAATTGTAAAATTTGTAGTTGTAATTTTTGTAACTTTTCTTGTTCATTAAAATACGATGTTGGCATAAAATCAATACCTGATGATAAAGTTGTAACTTCCATATTGGAAATTGCTTTATTTGACCAACAGTTCAAGTTATTTAAGTAAGACAATGTAGGATTTATACTTGATGTATTATCAGTTATAACCATTGAAGGTTGATTAAATATGTATGGTAATCCAAATGATTCATATTTTATATCATTTGATGTATTGGTTTCAGTATTTCTAGCTGAAAAAATAGATCCATTTGACTGAGATGACATTTTTTTTTTTTAATCGTCACCTAATTTTGTTTACAAAATAAACAATAAAAATAATTAAATTTTGAGGGGGTTGTGGAGATTTGGAAATATTTCAAGTTGTTATTCATCGAAGACTGACATCAGTTGGAGGAACAAAGGAAACCTGGGAGCACTGGACAGCCGTTTCGTCCGGCTAGTATGGGACTCCTCAGCAGTGCGCACCCACGACCCCACACCACCAGCGATCGAAGCCGCGACCTTCAGGCTCCGCGACCAGCGCGTTACCATTGAGCCACTGGGTCAGAATCCAATGCTCCATATTTCCAACTTCTGTTAGCTCACGATATAGCGCAAGTCGTGACCGGTGGAGTCAAAGCCTAATTGCCGTGAGGACAAATACTCAACGATGACATAGGGTGGCGGTTTGCTCTATATCATGGAAATATGGAGCATTGGGTTCTGACCCAGTGGCGCTCAATGGTAACGCGCTGGCCGCGGAACCTGAAGGTCGCGGGTTCGATCCCTGCTGGTGGGGTCGTGGGTGCGCACAGCTGAGGAGTCTCATACTAGCCGGACGAAACAGCTGTCCAGTGCTCCCAGGTTTCCTTTGTTCCTCCAACTGATGTCAGTCTTCGATGAATAACAACTTGAAATAAAAATAATATTTAAGAGTTTGGTAATAAAAGTTACAATATTCATAACAAAATGAGTAGTAGTAATGATAGATAGTGGCTAGTAATAGAATCCATGATACGCATTTCGTCCTATTTGGGACTCACTAGATGGATATATCTGCTTCCCGGTGAATGATGTTGTTCCCATTGGGATTCGAACTCGGGAAATAAAAACAGTTATACTAAAATGAATAGTATTTAAAGGAATTCCTTAGTTTTTGTGAATTTAAGATAATTTCCAGTAAATTTGAAATAAATAGAGGTTATCAAAGCTTTATATAGTCAATATGCTTATGAATTGTGAATGTAATAGATGGAGATCATTTGTATAGGTCTATAATCCTGAGTTCTGACTAAGAGAAGAGACTGAGTACTACTTAGATTGATGTTGAACATTTGAATTCAATTAACATCACACTTCTTGGCACCTATCACCAAAGTGTATCTGTAACCACGAAGGGGCTAATGTCCCCAACGACATTCACACTAGTAATCGATCTCCTGTAGGATCGGATGAAGTACACTAAGTAGTCAGTAGGAATAGATGAACGTCACAGTTTCTATTTTTGTGTACTGATAAGATTCTACTTATCATCTCAACATATGGTCAGCATCACAATGTACTTTGATTGATGTTAGACGGTTCGATTATCTTAAAGTTCTTGTTTTCACCTCTGTGTGTATCAGTGGATGACTGATTTCCCAATGAAGCACTAAACCTTAGAATGTCTTTGAAATTCACAGGGTATAACTTAGAGGAAAAATTTCCGCATATGTATTAAAAAAAGTAGATCACTATGTTTCATCAGTTAAACAGCTGAGATGAAATCTATCCTTCAATAATTTCATACTCCGTAGTGCATTTACACAGTATGATGTTAAACTAGAACAAAATGAAGTTTCTGCCATTACCATTGTTATACAGAGGTGATCTCGTGAATACTGTCATGAAGTGGTTGACAAATCAATAACCATTTTGTGTCATAAGAAGTTAATTACAGCTGTACAGGTTACGCTGATCATATCAGAATCTTGTCGACTGAAATCTTACTAAGACTGGTGCAAGTATCATTTCCCTTTCGATTTTAAAAAAACTATTCAAGTGCAGAATATCCACTATTAAAAATACGGTTTATTACTCAAATGATATACTCAACATTCTCAAACGATGATTCCACCAAATGCGAGCAATTTTACAAAGACACCTGTGATCAAAACCCTGTAATCGCACCATATCTTCCACTTTTCACTGCAGTGTCTCAGATGTATAACAAGACAGAACGAACCCCATAGCAGTATACTCGTCCTTTGATAGATGGTTGAATATCTCGCCAGTCGGAGCCACAGATGACACAAGTTGAGAAATACCAAACGCGTCTCCTGTATCTGAGTTGAGTTTCCGTCAACAACCAACCGGTTGCTGCTGATGTACCTCCCTAAATTAGATGAAGTGGTTGAATGTGTCAATCACTTCACTCCCTACCATTAAACTGGGAGTACTTGCAGCACACCAGTTCTGTAGCATCATTTTAAATTTGACAGGAGCCATCGAAACGCATGTCAAACACATTGAGATTTCCGCAAGATGCGTTCTGAAGACCGTGCGTTTTATCAATATATTCCCTTGGTAGGACAATATCTGCAAAGATTGCTTTTAGTGTATAGTAAACAAATGGTAAACAACAGACTTACTTGCATTTTCCACTTTCGAAAAATTCGAGTGTTACTACTCATGACCACCAAACATTTTTAGCTGATGGAGTAACTTACAAGGTTTAGAACTATATGACGATACTTAGACTACTGTTTGGTGAAGGACAATCGCCAGGAAGCTCTGACTGAACTTGGTTTCGTGCTTATTAACACTTGTCAGAAAGGTATATGTGTAACCACAGGAGAACTGATTTCCCTGCTGAGATTCCAACCCTCAACAATGAGTGTTGCAGTCTGTGGAGTAGTTGACAAATTGAGATCGTTGTTACCCAAGCAATAAGATATTTTAGGATCCAAGATTAGTCTATGTTTCACTACTAATGATAAAATCGAAATCATTTATAAAGATTTCAGTTTATAACATATGGAAAGCACCACAGATCAGTTGACACTCATGCCTTATATTAATTTCAGATGTAATCTCATGACAATACAATTTCATATATTTAATTCTAAAAGTTTTGAGTAGCTTCATTTCTGTAGTGTTTGCCGGTCTGTTAACCGTAAGGTCGTCATCGTATATTTATTTATTATTAGTCCCTTGGGTTCCTAGTGGAACATAGGGCTTCAGTAGCACGCCTCCAGTGACCTCTGTTCTCTGAGATCTTTTGAACCTGGTCCCACGACAGCCCACAAGCTCTCATTTCCTGCTCGCACGACCTCCTCCATGTCACCCTCGGACGTCCAACTCGTCGCTTCCCATGGGGATTCCACTCGAGGGCCTGACGCGTGATGTCCTCAGTCGGCCTTCTCAGTGCATGGCCAATCCATCTCCACTTCTTCCTGCATATTTGTTGCGTGATAGGTTCTTGGTTGGTTCGTTCCCAGAGTTCCTTGTTGCTTATTTTTTCTGGCCATCTGATCTTCAGCAGCGAGCGTAAGCAGTTGTTGATGAATGTCTGTAGTTTATTGGAAATACCTTTCGTGACGCGCCAAGTCTCTGAGCCATACAAGAGCACTGACTTGACGTTGGTGTTGAAAATCCGTATCTTGTTCCGCATGCTGAGTGCAGAAGATCTCCACACTGGTTTCAGGCTAATGAACGCCTGTCTTGCTTTTCCGATTCTGACTTTGACGTCCTCGTCCGTCCCGCCTGTAGTTGAAACAGTGCTTCCTAGATAAGTGAAGGAGGTTACTTCCTTCAAGTTTCTCCCGTTGACGGTGATTGGAGTTTGTTGTTGTTGTTGATGGTGGTGCGGTATCTTCATCACTTCTGTCTTCTCTATATTCACCTGAAGTCCCGTCTTAGCTGCCTCTTCTGTCAACTTGTTAGTTTTTGCCTGCAGATCTTCAAGTTTATGTGACATTAGGCATAAGTCATCGGCGAAATCCAAGTCTTCTAGGTTCTTTTCCGTCGTCCAGTGTATCCCCCTCTTCTCGCTGCCTACTGTTTGCTGCATGATCCAGTCCACCACAATAAGGAATATCATGGGGGATAGTAGGCAACCTTGTTTCACTCCTGTCTTCACTTCAAAGGCATCACTGAGCTTCCCATTGTGGATTACTTGGCATGTGGCATCTTCATATAGTTGTTGAATGAGGCGGATAAAGGTTTGCGGTACTCCGTAGTATTGAAGCAGTTTCCAAATTACTTCTCGGTCGACGCTGTCAAAGGCCTTCTCAAAGTCGATGAAGTTGAGGTATAGAGCTGATTGCCATTCTATGCTCTGTTCTATGATGATACGAAGCGTTGCAATTTGGTCAGCACATGATTTGTACTTCCTGAAGCCTGCCTGTTCCGGTCGTAGTTTTGAATCCAGTGCATCCTTAAGCCTCTCCAGGATGATGCGGCTTAATATTTTACTTGGGGTGGACAGGAGAGTGATTCCGCGCCAGTTCTTGCAAGCACTGAGGTCTCCCTTCTTCGGCAGTTTGACAAGGTAACCCTTCTTCCAATCGTCAGGTACCTTCTCTTCCTTCCACACCTTCTGCAATAGTGGTGTGAGCATGTCCGCTGTTGTCTCTGCATCTGTTCTCAGTGCTTCTGGCGGTATTCCATCTGGTCCTGCTGCTTTCCCGCATTTCAGTAGCTTTATGGCGTTCAGGACTTCCATTTTCGTTGGGGGATTAATGTTCACTTGTAGTTCAGCGGCTGCAGGTGGTATTTCTGGACGAAGTGCAGGTGGTGGTCGATTCAAGAGCTTCTTGAAGTGGTCGGCCCATCGTTTCCTCTGTTTCTCTTCTTTTGTAATTAAATTTCCTTCTTCATCTTTTATTGGTTTCATCTGTGTTGGTCTCTTCCCTGATAGCAACCTGGTTATTTGATACAATGTCGTCAGGTCTCTCTTACCTGCAGCCTGTTCTGCTTCACTTGCCAGTGTTTCGTAGAAGTGTCTTTTGTCTTTGCGTGCACTCTTCTTCACTTCTTTGTCCAGTGTTTTATACATTGTGCTCAGTTCCTCTTGTCGTTGAGCATCCTTGCACTGGTTTATCTTCTGCTTCACCATCCTCCTCTCCTCTATCAGCTTCCAGGTATCCGTCGAGATCCATTCCTTGTCTTCTTTCTTCTTCCTTCCTAATACTGTTGTGCAGGTTTCTTTCCACATAGCTTTCAAAGACTTCCAGTGTTCTTCCACACAGGTTTCTTCAGGGATGTTGCTCGATGTCTCCCATTTTGTCTTGATGGCTGCCTTG